TTTTCATGCAATGGTTGCCTTGACCTTGATAGATCACATGTACTTGAAGATTTGAAGTTGATACATTTTTCAACTTGTTTTTACTACTCCAATCTTATTATAATATTTTATTCAAACTAGTGCCAAATCCAACAATTTGATTTTGACCCAACTTTAATTATTCTAGTCCAAAATCTACTCTTGATACCATATCAAATGAACTTAAACAAAGCTTAAATTTGTAGTTAGAGCTCCAAAATTAATTTTTGTATACTCTATCAATTACCAAGAGAGCTTAGCTAAATTGATATATATGTGCACCGACTTTCATAGAATATAATTGATATATGTTCAATTTTCAATTGACAAGTACAAATTAAGCTCCAAATTATACAATTAAAAAAAGAACGAAAAAAGTATGGTATTTTGGTAGAAACTTTAATCCATTGTAAGGTCATCGTGAATGATTGCTACATAACTTGGTAAAAAATGATGAGTAAGGTACCTTAAATTGGCAATGTCAATATGATTGCCGTCCTACCAGGTTTAAGCAACCCCACTTTAAAAACTAATCATTCGAAAGAGACTAAAATTTCAATCGATCACTTCAATTCGTTGACTACAACTTTAGTGAAATTTACAGTACATGTACTCGATAACTCGATCACATGATTAATGATTGCGCAGGGTGTGGAAATTACGGGTTCATCAGTCCAAACTATGAATGAATGAAGTCTTCCAAATTTCATACTTGTAAAGTTAATAAAGTTAGTTATTGCTTTGTACTATTACAACTTGGAACATTTTTATTCTTTTGGTGGTGTAGAATTGAAGTTTTCCCACTATAAGATAAGAGTTGTAAATAATTGGTGCATATAAAAGGAAACTAAAAGTGTATGTAATTGTATCATTTTTAGAAATTTTATGAATGAAATTATAAAATAGCTTGTAACATCATTTTCTTTATCCCATGTCAGTTGTCAAGGGACCCCCAATCATGAAAAAATATGTTATTGTAAGATAATAAAAACATGGCTAATATATTTATTTGAAAGTTTATTTTACAAATGAAAAAATGACAATTTGAAATCTTCGTTCTATTTTATAATTTAACTTGTAATATTTAGGGGTTTTGTATTGCAATCCTTCTACATGAGTAAATGAGTACAATTAGGCTATATTCTAAAGGTGCCCATTTGATTCAGTAATTTACTTTTTTGTACTTCGTATCATGTGTATAGAAAAATGGTTTGCATACAATTAGGCTAAAGATCGATCAAGATTAGAATTACATTCATCAAATATAGAAGGGATCGTGGATGCATTGTACACACATCATCATCAAGTGATGTGCATGTATAGGTGAACATGTCTTGCATGCTACTCCCTTCGTATCAAAAGACAATATGTTTCCTTCCAAAACAAGAGAAACTAAAATCTTTTAAGTTCTCCCTTTTTTTTTTAATTATTTTTATTACAATGTCTGGAATATGTCTTATTGTCTTATTATACTATATTCCACCCAAATGAGACATGACTATACACATCTCTCGCTCTAACCTCACAACAATATCAATTGCCATTAACAACCTTCCCAATATAAATTTTACAACTTCCTTATAAAAATAACTAGTATAAATATATTGTGATTACTTGATTTTTTTTTATTTTTTATTTTTTCCCTGTAAATCACCGTAAAGAAAAAAAAAAAGAGATAATATTTATTTTTTAGTTAATTTTATCTTTCAAATCTCATTAATACACTAAAAAATTCTAAATTAATTAAGTACTTTTTATATTAAGATTGCTTATTTTTTTTAGATGACAAAAGCAAACCCTTTTCTCTTTCTTCTTTTTCTGATCTCAACTTCTTTTGTATTTCTATAAATATTTTATTTATTTAAATATTATTAAAATCAGCTTTTGAGGTAGTATATAAGCCATAAATTTTCATCTTAAAGTGTCTCTAATGAGATTTGATCTCACAACCTCAAACATTGGTCGATATTTTTTATTTTTTTTTAATTGAGCAATCACTTTATAATATCTCTAATGACATTTGATCTCACAACCTCAAACATTGGTCGATATTTTCTATTTATTATTGATGCAAGCTAAGCGATCGCTTTAGAGGGGTATTTTAATCGGTATATCTTTGGTTGGAGCATGACGGCTGGTGAGTAAGAGAAGCAAAGTGTTAGTCAAAATCAGCCGTCACATACGTGGGCCAAAACTTTCCGATACTCGTGGCTTTCTTCATATAATTTGCGTCACTTTCAGGTTTCATCACTTTCGTAATTTCTATTCTAAATTCCTATCATTAAGCTCTAAGCATTTTAATCATTAAATTCAATTGACAAGGAAAAGCTGAATTCTTGACTGGCTCTTCAATTTTTGTTTCTTTAGCAATCGGAATTATAATCATTGTTAGGATAGTGCTAATTATTAGAATGTAACATCTAGTATGTAATACCTTCGTTCTCTTGTCCATGGGATAGGGTAGAATATATAAAAAATTGACCCAATCGACTTAAAAATATCTAATTTAGATTTTGACTTGTAGCCACAATATTTAACTTGATTGGGTTGACTCAACTTTAAAATATACCCAATCTCACCAAACTCGATGCAAATACCCAAATTAACACCTCTTCGTTAGATGTGAACCACATGGGAGACGGTTGGAGCCTTGGAGGCCCAACCTCTATGATCAATTACATGAGCATACAAAGTGTCACATAAAAAAAATAAAAGTCATTAAAAATCTATGGTATGATAAAGAAAGGTTCATAATTTATTTCATAATCTATAAATCAACAAATGAGAATTAAGATTTTTAATTGGTTATATTTAATAATAAAAAAAAATCTAATTTGCTTTAATTAATAAAATATTTGGATTAATTCCCATATCAAAAGTTTGATTTATAATTTGTTTCTAATAATTTAACGAGGCAAGGGTTTACGAGAGAAGAAGAGAGGTTATTAGGGTTTTTAAGTTTTTTTCGTCTTTTAAGTTATTATATTTTAAAAATAAATTTTATATTTGTTTGTACTTAACTACGGAGTATCATTTGTTTCTCAAAAAAAAAATAAAAAAAAAATACAAAGTGTCATTAAATAAACTAATTGAAATACCAGATATTTTAGATATACTCAATAATTTTTTATTTATTAGTAAAAAAAAAAAAATTAAAAAAAAATAATTTTTTATTTATTATAAAATCACTAAGCTTATTAATAATTTTTAAATTAATCATAAAACTTAATTCTTATATGTTAGTTTTTCCTTATATACAGATTTTTTTATTTTTTTTTTTATTTTTTTCCATAGGTCAGATATTTGTATATATCCCTTATAGAATTTGATTATGTTTTGTTTGTTTAATTAAATCTTCATTCTCCTTCACTGATTTGTATTAGATTTTTTTTTTTCATAGTAAATTCTTTCCATTAATAAAGTAGCCATAGATTTTTTAATTGTTCTTGATGAATTATTTAACTATCACAAATTGCCACATGGTGTGAACAACCATCATGGGTTACTTTAATTTGTTGGTGTTATAGGGTTACTCGGTCAATGTTACATGGGTTACTTCATCAGGGTTTCTCTTCTCTCAAAACACACTGTTCAATTATATAATAAACCATAAATTAATTCTCATTCGTCAATATTAAGATAAATTCTCTTATATTAAACAATATAATCTAATCTAATATATATATATATATATATATATATATATATATATATATATATATATATATATAAAGGGGAGTTTTTTTTCCGAAGTTATTAGAGCGCCATGCAGGATTAATATTTTTAAAACGCTACAATCGGATTATGCCACATAAATTAGTTTTTTTAAAGCGCCACGTAGGATTATATAAAGGGGAGTTTTTTCCCAAGTTTTTAGAGCGCCACGTAGGATTTAAATTTTTAAAAAATTATTAAGCGCCACGCAGGATTAATATTTTTAAAACGTTACAATCAGATTATGCCACGTAAGATTAGTTTTTTTAAAGTGCTACGTAGGATTATAATACAAAATAAACGCCATGTAGGATTAATATTTTTAAAACGCTACAATAGGATTATGTCACGTAAGATTAATTTTTTTAAAGCGTTACGTAGGAATATAATAATAAATAAAAATTTATCAGTGCGTCACATAGGAAAATGTTATATTTTAGCCAATGAAAAAAAGAATTGCAATTTATTTTAGATCTAAAATTTTATATTAATTATAAAAATAAAATCAACGACTGTGTGATTGACCATATCGTGTGGCGGCTGAGACACGCCAAAACACTGACCGAGTAGCCTTGGTTGTGCGAATAACCCCTAATCGATTAAGTAACCCTGACCAGATAATCCCGACCACACGGTGTGACCAGTCATATATGAAACTTTGTGAAATAAAATATTATCTTTTTATATTAGGAATATTTATCTAAATATGAAAAACAAAATTAATAATTCATTTTATAGTAAAAAAATTCAAGTAGTAAACAAGCGAATATCACAAAGTTTATCAGATAAATATAAATTTAGTAAAATATTTTATTTAAATAAATACAAACAAATTTTTTAATCAATTTTACATTCCATCTCCATTCATTAATCTTTTTGCTTACGCGGCACTTACGTTGAGTGCTCTCAAAATTTGCCTATCTGTATAACCTACTTGTATAATATTTGTTGAATAAAAACAAATAAAAAGGAAAAACGTGCGGCGCTGAAGTGTTTATAAAAGAAGCAACCGTAGTCAAAGAAGAGTCGTGACCTCGCATTTACATAACAATCATTGGCTACTTAGAAATAATATGCATTTCTCTCTCTTCTCCTCCTATATTCTCTCTTTTGTTTTCTCCTAGATTTACGACCCAATTTCTCGACCTCCTGCAAAAACTTACTCACTAATCCATACTCTCAATTCCACCATATTTTTATGATGAATTATAATTATAATTATAATTATGGTGATTATGATTGGTATAACTCTTCTTCTTCTAATCAAGGAAATTATTATCAGAGCAACGAAAACAATGATGTTACTATCAACAATGATGGACAGTTTTTTGCTGATAATCCTCAACTCCAATCCTCTGACTATCTTCCGGTACTGTTTTAATTTTATAAACCTCTTATAACTAAATTTGCTCACTTGTAAAGCTCTCAATCCCGATTCGCGGTGGGTTCGAGTACTCGGTAATAATGCTCGTTCTCACCTCAGATCTGGGGTTGGAACCTTGACAAGTTTGCGTGCTGGAGTGGAGATGGAGATTTTCTTCGACTCTATATATATATATATATATATATATATATATATATAGAATAGAGCCGTTTGTATTTTTTTCTTTTGGGTTAAATACGAATGCATTGATCTGATTAATTTGCATTTGTGAGTATAGATCTTATTTATATTGTTTGTTGTTTTTGATAGGGCTTGTGGAAGTAAAAAATAATAATGAAAAAACACAAACGTAATTAAGAAGAGGTCATTAATAAAAGTTTTTTATAGAAAAACCTTAAAAATTAATTTATTCGATAAGATAAACAAATTATTTTTGGGATTATTCACATTCAAAGCTATGATCATAGTTTATGAATATATAAATTGTTAATGATCACCTTTTGAGATGCATAAACAAGCATATCTACTTGTGATTTTGTGGAATCACACTCATTAATTATTCAATAGTATGAAAAAGTATATTTCACGATTTTGATTTTCAAGATCACGTCTGCATGGGATTCTTTGTTAATGCCAAATAATGTATTCTATAATTCTGCGTACGTGTACCCTTGGCGGCGTACGTGTAGTGTGTCGTACACAGACGGCGTGTGTAATGTGTTATACACACGTCGCTAGCTAATCCTTGGGTGCACCTTGCTCTAGTTATAACTATCAAACTATGTTTTATAATGACTGATTGTTTTTCGTGTACTCGTACTGTTGGTAGAGACTTGGCGTAGAGAGTGCTAAACGTGAAAGTAAACTTGGGTTGAAGCTGACCAAGACACCATCATTGGTGAATTTGCTAAGTAATGCTCTTCCAACGGAAAAGCTCAAGGCTGCTAATTTTCCTGCTATGTCTCTCCACATTGGCCCTTGGATGGTAATTTTTTTTTTTTTTTTGTGACTTGACAAGCCTTAATTTGTATATCATATTCTATGTTCACATTATTATTGTTTTGTACTTCTTGAACCAATTATTATTTATGGTAAATGCATCTTATTGATGCAGTGTTTTGATTTTGAATTTAATTAGATAGCGTATTGCTTTCCCATACTCGTATCACATACAACCACCATTAGGTTATAATTGAGAATGGTTGGCTAGCTAGCACAATTGGCTTTGTTAATTTTCGTTTTTCAAGCATGGTCAGGGTCAAATCTCACTAACATCATCTTAGCTTATTAGTTGGCTAGCTTATTTGTTAATAATTTGTTAATTATTTTGAAAGTAAACTATGCTTGAACCAGTCCTTTGTATTACAAAATGCATACTCAATAAGGTCGTGATAACATTAAATTCTGTGATCTACAGAGAGTCTCAAGGCATGAAGGAGAATTGATAGCCAAGTGCTACTTCAAAAAACGGCAATTAGTTTGGGAAGTTTTAAATGGCAACTTGAAGAGCAAGATTGAGTTTCAATGGTCTAACATTGCAGCCATTAACGCTACGTTTGATGCTGATGGCGGTCCAGCAGTTCTTGATGTCATGGTTAGTTTCCTACTCATCTACCACACACTCTTGAATGTTTTCAATCACTAAATAATGCAAATTTTTTTTTCTTTTTGTTTCGACATATATAATTATATAGTCATTATTAGTTTGCCTGCAATATTTTACTTCTCACATGAGAAGGTTTTGTTGTTTTAGGCTTACCATATTTTAATTATATGATTTTCTTTTGGTAATTATTTTTCGGATATATTTTTGTTAGATGTCATGAGTTATTTTAAAGAGATTTATTAGGGTAGAATTGTACTTAAGCTAGGATTTATGTTTAGATTTTACTAGATAATGTCCAAACTAAGCTCGGTTTTTAAATTAATACGGAGTAATAATTGAACTATAACAGGCTATATATAATATTGGTCAATAGTCTACCATAAACAAATAAATAAATAATGAAATTTATAGATAAATTAATGATTTTGCACCAAAAAAACAAAAAAAAAAATTAGGAGGAAAACTCCCTCCAAAAAAGTTTCACTTTAGTAAAGGTATATTGATTGGCTTATTTATAATTAGCGTGTTTTGTGTGTGGTTGATCATACCATGTGACCAGCTAATACATGAGTAACTCTTGACTAGGTAACTCCTGACCATTCTTTTCAAAAAAAAAAAATGTGGTTGGAGCCACATATGAAAGTTTGCCATTACTACTTGATGTTGGTATTCAATTTATTCATTAGAGATTAAAAAAATTTTGATTTATTGAGAGTTATTGTTTAGTCGAGAAGACAAGCAATTAAACTGAGAAAGCAAATCTTAGTTGAATACATATATTAATTTGAAGAAAATTAGTACTCTTCATATCTTTGTGCTACTTACAAATACACATACAACCACCAAAGTTACAATTAAAGACCATCATTTACTTTCTCACGCAAGGAAAATATCATCAAAGTCTTCATCATCAATCCATAAGACCATACTCACGCAAGAAAGTACTACTCCACCCTCTTTCTTTTCAAGAAGTCTACTTTCTTGTTATAAGAAACACATCACTGTCTAGCTCTTGGAGGAATTCCCTGCATTCATCATATGCATTTGTTGAGAGTGAGGGATAGTTCAAGTGGTTAGAGCTTCCCTCTCGATTTCAAGAGATCCTAGGATACCTGTAGACAAAGAGTTAGTGGAAAAAGAGGCATCGACTTGGATGACAAGTTGGTTTTGGTTTATGATATAGAGCAGGGGAATTGAAAGACAATTTATTCTGGATGGACACTATATATTTTCTAACTTCCATGTCGACGATAGCTTATTGTTTAACCGTTCTACGTTTTCCTCCCTGTATTGCAGTTGGAAAAGCCTCCTTTGTTCTTCCGCGAAATCAAGCCACAACCTAGAAAGCATACGAATTGGGAACAATCTGAAGATTTCACAGATAAACAAGCTTCTTTGATAAGGTATATATACATACCTCAAATTAAATCATATTAGTTCAAATCAACACGTTTTCTTCTATCTACCAAATTAATTATTTTCACCCCTTGTAGGAAACATAAACTTGTATTTGCCCCTGGAATCTTGGAAAAGCATTACTTCAAAATTATACAAGCTGACTCTAAGTTGCATCATATAAGCCAACAACCTTTCCCATATCAAGCTAGTATATACTTCAACGAAATTCACTTCTCAAACCAGCTTTGCTACAATAATCTCCCTGCCGCTATTCCTCCACAAATTCCTACAAATCATCCTTCAGGTACGTACTTCACACATCTTATAAATTTGTTACGTTCTTGCTTTTGTTTTAGTACGTTCACAATCTTACCTAAAGTAACTCGTCGCCTTCTAATTATTTTCTTCTTTGATTTGATTTAGTTATGGATTTTGCAAGCCATACCACAAGTGCAAATTATCCAATTCATCAAGATCTTTCACCCAACAACAATGATCTTCAATTCGCAATTTCATCATCTATGAGCCAAGAGAGTAGTGCACGTTTTCAGCAAGCCGGGTTAGCATATCCATATATAAATGATATTCCCGTGACAAATGATGTAGAATTAAATCCATTAGGTTATCTGCTACCATTTGATTGTCTACAACCAATGGATGCAGTAGAGAGTTGTCTTCAGTACATGGGAGATTCGTCTCATCATTCAAGTTACGACTATGAGGATAGCATTGCTGATCAGCATCAATCAATAAGCCATGAATATCAAAGTCATCAACATTACGATTTTCATAATTACAATCAAGAGGACATCAATGGCTTAAGATGATTAATACTCCCTCCGTATTTTATTACTTGCTCCACTTTTCTTTTGCGACCGTATTTAATATTTTGCTCCATTTCCTTTTTTGGAAACTTATAACAATATTTCATCATTTTGAACTATCCTGCAATGCATTAAATTACATGCATATGCTATGGTAGATCAGGTTTGGAGCTAGGGAAATCTTTGAAGTAGCTAAACACTATTTGAATAAGAAGTGTGAGAAATTATGTACTCCCTCCACCCGAGGTTATCTGCAACATTTGTCAAAAAAGGGTGCTTTGTATTATTTGCAACAAATTTTTTTCTTTCCTTTTTGGGTAATATTTAACTATTAATTACCCCCTATTACCCACTTTTTTGGTTAGTGGTGACAAAATACCTGAGTCCGAATTGCGAACTGGTGCAGTCCGATGCCGGAAACTTCACCACCACCACTACCTCCGCCGAATCCGTCATCGCCGTCCATCACTTTTTCTTTCCTCTTTTTCTCTTACTTAAGTCGAATTCAAAAGGGCAAACATATTTAGAGAAAATTAGCTCAATTTATTATAGATTAGAGATATTTATTGTAAAAGATATATTTACGGATTACACACACACAAAAAAAAAAAAAAAAAAAAAAAAAAAAAAAAAAAAAAAAGGTTAATAAAAAGATAAATTTAGAGCAAGTCAACAAAAGTTAAAAGTCAACCTTCACCCTAATATCCGAATAACATTAAAACTCTCCTTGTAGGTCAAGGTCGTCAACTCATACATATACTCCCCTTTATCTTAACTCTTAACACTTCTCACAAATTTAAATTACCACGAGGATACTCACTGGTAAACTCAATTTAAACGGAGACCAAAAAAAAAATTTCCCCATAAAATTAATCGAAGAAGAATGGATTACAATAATGGTGTTTACAATCCTCCAAACAATAATTTCGCCTTCGGTGGTCAAATATACCATGACAATGGCGGTGTTTCAAATATTAATTTGGGGATATTACACCCTGTTGGTATTCAGGTACCTTTTTAAACATTATTTAGGTCAACTTTCTTTAACTCTTTTTCATGAAAATCACATGTAAAATTAAATAAATGAATAAAATAAAATAATCAAGCTTATAATAAAGAAAATCCATGAATATAAATTTAATGGCAATGTAAATTTGTTATACGGAGTAGAGTAATTTATCAACGTTGAATTACAACTTTACGTATGAGGAAAAAAAAAAGGGTTTATTAGTCTACTCGTATTTTGATCATTCTATTTGTATGTACTATTGTTGTATGTAGTATAATAGAATGAAATTACAACGATAGTATGTACTATGTTAGAAACTCCACCACTTCCTATTTGTAATTTATGACTTTATGGATCATTCGAACAAAGAAAAATTATAATATATTTTATTTTTATTTTGGTAGGATAATACTGAGGCAGTTCTTGGTCTCACACTAACCGTGGATAAAAAATTGAAGAAGTGTTTTATTCCACCAACAGATAATAAGGCTATTAAATTCGATGCTTTGTCTCTTCAAATTGGTAAATGGAAGGTAAATCTTGTCAACTTTTCTGTTTGATTAACTTTATTTAATATACTTTTTTTTTTTTTTTTTTTTTATCATTACTGTATGAATTTTTTGAAAATAACCACCAATTATTGTTGTCATTTTAGTTTTAACCCCAAATTTTATTTATTTAATTTTTTTCAGCACCTATGATTTTAAAAAATATTAAATTTTCCCACCACATTGCCCAAGCCCTCATACATGACGTCATCATGCCTTCTTCTTCTTCTCCTTCAATTCTCATGTTCAATAACTGCTTTTTTCAACAGAAATTAAAATTGAATTATGGAAAAGCATTTGGTAGTCGATTCACATAATTTTAGCTCACACGAACATGATTAAGTCACTATATATGTGTCAATTATAACTTGTTGTTCTTTATTTAGGGTTTATCTCAAATTTGGGGAATTTTTGAAATTGAGATAATTTTTGAAATTAAGTATTATTCATATTGATTAACTCTATATTGAACCAATATGTATGCTCAATTTAGGATTATTAATGATATTTTGACAAACGATTGATTTTTTTTTTTAAGAAAAAAAACCCAAAATACATATGAATCCTAATTTTTCATAGCAATAATTAGTAATAATTTCTTAACAATAGCATCGATTTCGGTACTAATTGAAGACATAATACGTCAAATCGATGCAAATAGTCCCAATTTAGTAAATTAATCACTAAATAACAAACCCCAAATTTCATATAAAACCCAATATGATGAACATCATCTTATAATTAGCCCCAATTTCGTAAATTAGGTACCTAGCTAATTTTGTGCTTGGTTTGCATAATTTGGATTTGCTTCTAAGAAATAGAAGAACAAGGTTAGATAAAGGAAAAAAAATTGAAAAAAATTAGTCGGGAGGGCCCATAATGAATTAATGACGTCATATAGAAGACTTTGGCAAATTTGGTGAGAAATTTTTATGTTTTTTAAAATAGGACGTGGTAAAATATAAAAAGAAATCTTATTTTATTGTTATTATTACTCCTAAAATTATTCATACTTTTATTTTTACTTCAAATTTACAAGCCCAAAATTTAAGGCTTTATTTTGTTCACTTATATCAGAAAAATAAGTTCGTATTAAGATTAATATCTTTTGATTAAGATAAATAAGTTTAAATAAAATTAAATCTAATTAAATAACTAAAATAAACGGCTAAAAAAACTAAAATAAGTTTAGTAAAAACGTTTTTGTAAAAAGTTCAATTAACACCACCAAACTAACTAATCACTTAAATTTTCCTTCTTTTAAGCCCTACTTTTACTTCAATTTAATTGTCATATCAGTGTTGTTGTTGTGATGTTAATGGCTAGCTTTTGACCTTGTTGACATGGGATTTTGGTGCAATTGTTGAAGGCGAAGTAGAAGTACCCTATCTTGATGGGTGCCACTGAAAGAAAATTGCAGATGAAGTGTTTGATGAAATGCGTGAATAAATAAGTAAAGAAATTATTAGAGAATGGGGATTTTGTGTTTTTTTTTTGTGTTACTAGAGAATGGGGAATTTGTGTTAGGGGGTTGACTTACTGTGTAAATTCTTTTTAACCCTAATTTAAGCCGATATAAAATGCTTAAATGCAAAATGCTTTTATTTTTTTTCCTGATTTGTTCATAGGTTTACAAACATTTATTTGTTATTATCTCGTTATACAGTTTGAATCAATGAGAGGTTCGGACTTGGTTTGCAAAGGTAACTTCAACAAAAGATATTTCGCTTGGGAAGTATTTGACGGCACACTTAAAAACAAAATCCAGTTCGATTTTTCAAGCATTGATGATATAAAATATAATTTATCACTCAAAAAAAGCTATGTTACTTTCAAGGTTTGTTCCTACATTTATTATTTTTATAATACATATTAATTTGAATGTTCGTAAAATATTTGTCAATTTTTAATTCAAGGTATCAAGCTACGTAGTGTTTATAAATAGTTAAGGTTATTCTCTACAACTACAATCATGTTAAATCCATATATATATACTCCGTATAATGTACTTGTATAGATAACGCATATGACAACTAATTTTATATGAAAAAAGAATGAACAATTATCATTAATTTATTAAATCTAGGCTTAGCATACTAGATTACTTGGTATTCTTAAAGTTGACTTTCTTTATTTATGTAACAGCTAAAGCAGAGCCCCTCATTTTCAGTTGAGCTACCGCCTGAGATAAAAAAGCATACAAAATGGAAACCCCATCATGATTTTACTGATGATGAAGCTTCTTCTTTACAGTATGCAAAATATGTTACCTTTTTTTTCATAATATTCCTCAATTCCTGCATTTATATTTATGTTAACTTAGTAGTTTTTAAAATAAAAATATAGTATTGATCAATTGATCTTGATTAATTATTTCGTTCCATGCAGCTTGCATGTTCTCGAACTCAAAACAACAGTGTTGGAAAAATATTGGAAATATTTCATGATGGCTCATCCGACCGTCTTCTATAACTTGTTTTACAATGTTGCTGAAGGTGCTATATATATATTGATATTATGTTTTGTTGATTTAGCATTTTAGCTAAATACATTATATGATTTTTGCATGCTTTCTGAAGTTGTTAATCTATAGATAATAATGCAGACAATCAAAATGAAGCAATGCTGAGGCAGATTGACTACGATCCTCTACCAAAACCATCTTTGGAGGCTTTTACTAGTGGTGTTGGATGTCCACCAATAAATGGTTATGTGCAAGAAGGTGCTCTTCGTGAAGGTACTCCGTACAATACATTTATATTTCCTTCGTTCTTTTTTGGTTGATACATTTTGGCTTTTGATACTATTCAAAATGATAAAAATTAATCACGTGAGATATTGTAGAATTGTAAATAAAAACTGAGGATGTATGTATTTGTGCGTGGTTTTATGAAGTTTTCTAACTATTGTACAATCGCAATTTTTAATATTGGACGGCTATTATCTAATGATTTATGAAATTCAATTTTAAATTGTTTATAAAATTAAAATTCAGAAAAAACATACTCCGTATTATGTTTATTCAAAAAAAAAATTAAATTGATTTTTAATTAATATTAACATTTAAAAATCATTAAATCTTCTTTCAAAAAAAAAAATCATTAAATCTTAACCGCTCTTTTAAAAAAATTATGATTTTTTCGTTATTTTCTATAAATTGTACCTGTACGAGATTAGGTACGGATGTGTTTGTGCATGTTTTTGAAGTTTCCTAAATATATAATCTCTTTTTTCCAAATTTATAGATGGTGCAAACTATATGGATAATTTGGACGATCAAACTATTAATGCAATAAGCCAGTTCAATCTCCCACATGCGCCAAGTCGAATAGACAATCCTCAACAACCACTTTCGAGTTTTGCGGGGAACTATTATGACATAAATCAAAATGATGCAATATGCAATCACTACGTCCCGGATGTGGTAAGGGTGACGGATGGTCCTCGACAGCTTCCTTCGAGTTCTGTGGATGAGGCTTCGTCCAGCGGTGTTGGACGTTCACGAGGAAATGGCTATTTGTTAAATCATGTTGTTGAAAATACAAATGGTTATTATTCTCAACCTAGTTACCATCATTTTTTTAATTGGGATAACAATTAGCCCATAACAGATTGTCTATGCAGACGATGAATACCCTGAATGAGGATACGTTTTGTTTTTTTGTTGGTAGTAAGGATATACTATATAGGCATTTTTATTACTAGTATTTATAGCATAGTAACATCAGATTTTCTTCATAAACTGGGCTTCAGTAAACCTTTACAAATCAACTTCTCGTATCATTACAGAATTAAATTTTGTCCAACACCAAGAATTCTTGGTGCGAGTTTCATTCATCAATGAATAATTTGAGCAGTTTAAATAAAACTACAGTAGTATTCAGTAGCTATAACAGGAATCTATCATGTAAAAGAGTACATTTATTTCTTAGGTTCGTTGGTAAAATAAGTAAGCACATACAACGGTAACACTACTGGAAATTGTGCTCCCATATTTCCATAAATGATCATCCATTCAGAGGGAAGGCTAATCTTTCGACTTATATCAGTTTTTAATGTCACAAATTATCTCCAGCTTTATCTAAAGATGAAGACAGATAACTGAGTATGAAACCATCCAGGTCACCTTCCAGCACAGAATCCGGATCTGAGACCTCAAAATCTGTGCGATGATCCTTCACCATTCGGTAAGGCTGCAACAAGACATAGTAAAAGAATCATTAACTTTGCTCAATACCTATTAGATAGTTTCTTTTAACATCTCAGGTTTGTGTTAGGGAATGTTATTTATTTATTCATCAGTTTTGGTATGCTGAAATATGAATATCCTTACATGAAGAACATAAGATCTTATCTGGGCGCCCCAACTGATTTCTGTAAGTGATTCTGTATGCTGAGCATTCATTTGAGCTTGGCGAGCTATCTCAAGCTGGTCTACACGAGATTGGAGAACTGCCATCGCTGAAGCCTTGTTTTGATGCTGTGACCTTATGTTGTTGACAAATAAAACAATATGAAAATCAGTGAGAGAAATACAGCACCGGGAAACATTTAGGTGAAGAGAGATGGCTATAGAAAGACACAGGATTTTATAATAGGACATGGTGAGGAAAATTGATTACCGCCTTTATTGGTTTGAATTCGTCATTTTTATTTTGTTCCGGGATCATTTTGTCTCATCTAACAACTCCCTTTACAATAAAGCTTGCATAAGGCGGGCTTACATTAATTTTATTGTAAGGCGGTCAATTTAGGTAACTTTTAACAATTTTTATGGTATCTTTAATCTCTTTATGAGTAACTTTTAATTTGTAATGGGTTCGATTGTATTTTAATGTGTAATTTTTAATGTATACATGTTATAAAGGCTAATATGATTATTCTAATACATTACAAGTGTTTTTTAAGGGTAAAATTTACGTTAAGAAATAGTAACTTTTGTATAATATAAGAGTAACTTTAAAAATAATTGTAGGATAACTTTAACCTGTCTTACAATAACTTAATGAAAGTCTTCCTTAATTAAGAATGTGTGCTCCCTTTCTCCCACCTTTTTTAGGCCACAATAATTGTAGACCACTTTTCATATCCAGTACTATTTTTTGGAATTGATCCATAGTATCAATATATGATGTTTGTAACAGTACATATTATCAAAGATTATCATATTGTCAAAAAAAAAAAAAAGGATTATCATGGTCTTTTGAGAGAATTTCCTAAAGTGAATTACTAGAGTAAGACGGAGGAATCTATTATTTGCAAACTGAGGAAGAGTGCAAAACTTTAAGTTCAAAGTTACCTAGTGTCAGTGAAAAACTTGGAAGAACCCTGGACAAATCGTTCATATTATTTCAACAGCATTCATGGGATTAACTGAGGGCAAATTCCTAATTACAGAAGATTTTTTCCAGCGGGACCTAGTGTATAAATTCATGAAGGATATTAACTTAGCATGATAAAAGGAAAAAGAAGTAGTTCTTCATCTATGCATCAAAGTCTTTGAAACTATAACCAAAGATGAGCATGCACACCTTTCATTTTGACAAGTAGCAACGATCCCTGTAGGGATATGAGTTATCCTCACAGCACTGTCTGTAGTGTTGACCGACTGACCACCAGCTCCACCAGCACGATATCGATCAATGCGGAGATCTGATTCTTTAATCTCCACACGTGTGGATACATCTTTGAGGATTGGAATAACTGCTACAGCAGCAAATGACGTATGTCTGCGTTTTGCACTATCAAATGGAGAAATACGAACCAATCTGTGTACCCCAACTTCTGCTTTTGCATATCCATATGCATATTCACCATCTACTTTGATTGTTGCCCGCTGAAATCCAAGAAAATTAAAAATAAAAATTAAATAGCCAGATATAATCAATGAAAGATTACTTTTTTTTTTTTTTTTTTTTTTTTTTTTTGAAGAAATCCTGAACAGGGCTACAATCATTCATTCATAGAGATATCAGAGTTCAATAAAGGTACAATGCAACCCAGAAAATCCGTCAACCAAAGATATGACCTATAGCCCAAGGGATCATATGAGCTAATTCATGGGCAACATTATTTCCCTCCCAACGAACAAAATTAAAGGACACACAGTCCAAAGATCTACAAACATTATAAATATCATCAATGATAATATGAAGAGAGCTACTTCTCTTTTGTGATTTAATTGCGTTAATGAGACCAAGGCAATCACTATCAAAGAAAGATTTCTGGAATGAATAAAAATGCAACCCGTATACATCAATAGGTGGATAAGCTTTATCCTAATATTATTTGTTCCCTTCTATTCCCTAATCACAATGTAATTCCATTTAGTATATCATAACCAAGGTTGCCCGTCACTTTAGCCCAATGAATAGTGGATAGTAAAGGTAGAATAAATGAAAGGCATAACCTTGATCCCTGCAATTTCACCAGCCATTTCCTCCAGAACACTAACACGATATCCACATCGTTGTGCCCAGGATTTGTACATTTCCATGACCATAAAAGCCCAGTCATTGCTCTCTGTGCCACCGGCTCCAGCTTGAACCTACAGCAATTAATGATATGCAATCTTTTTATTCTCCTTCTCAGAGATAACAAAAATGTGAGCCAAAATCTCATAATACATTGAGAAAGATATAGGTAGAAGAGAGTGATATATAGAAGCAGATAGATACTACTAGTATGATTCAATTTCAAACTTTTGTGAATTGTAATTGTGCAATAGTTACAATCACACTGATATCTCCAGTATATTTGAGTTTTTTTTCCAGGTGAAACCGCATTCCTGTCTCTGCTACACAGCCTACACTACATAGGCACATATGCTAATACAGTCAGTCTTGCACGTGGATCTAAACCTAGGCCTCTTTATAGCAATGTGTAAGGTTCTTGTCTAATATCTGGATTCAATCTGCTACTTTCAAATAGAATTACCTTCAAGTTAAAATTGTAAATTGAAAAAAGGAATTACATTCAAGGTAAACTTTAAATAAAATTTAGAATGTTTGTTGCTTGTGAAGCTATAGAACAGCAAGAATCCTTCTTCTAGAGCAGGGATTAATCGTAGTCTCGTAGATGCAAAGTACACTTTATATTCACAAAGGAATTTGATTCCCATACTTAGATAAGGAAGTAAAACAATTATGCAGACCCCAGCCTCCAAAAAAAAAAAAAAAAAATTATTGTTTCCCAATTCAAATGTGAATACTGAATGAGTAAGAGGGGAGTGGGTGAAAGACTTCCCAAGTTTTAGTCTAACTTTTTACTGCCAGGCAAACAAGAGTTCAATAGAGCATTTCCTAAGATATATCAATAGAGCAAACAAATCTAGTCGGAACCAAAGTTATTAAAATCAGGATTCTACTTTGAATCGGAAGGGGCTATTAGAATGGAATCGTAAAATCGAATCGTAGAATCGTAAAATTCTACTGACATGCATAATCAAGACGTCATATCTAAATTTAGTTAAATATATTTAAACTATGAGTTTGAAACCTAACTATTGATAGAAAATAATTGTTTACACATTAAGCAACCAATAATTGACAATCTCTATTTATAAATAGCTATATAGGCATGTTTTAAACTTGTAAGGATTTCGCTAGTTAAGAGAAATATGTGAAATCGAATAGAATCATAAATCGAATCGTGTTATATACATGAATCGTAAAAGCGTAAGATTCTAAGATTTAAATCGGGATTTTAATAACAATGGTCAGAACTACAGGAAGTGATACACAGATGTAATGTCAAGAGATTATAAGTAATAGACTTGCGGATCATTCAGAGAAAATATTTCCAAAATATATATTTGACAAGTCCTGATTTTCTGAAACAGATGTACTAGTATAAGGTAGAGCATTCTTGCCAGAGGTGGAAACAGATGTACTAGTATAAGGTGGAGCATTGCCAATTTTCAAAAAGGCATATATTCCTGTTTGCGTTAACAGCTTAAATTCCTCCTTTACCACTAGCCAAATATTTTTTATCCTATGAAAATTCATGAGCAGAACACAGATGGACTTTCCAGTATATTGTCCATAACTCCAGATATTGTACAGCAACCACAGCTATCACACACACACACACACACACACACACATATATATATATATATATATATATATATATATATATATATATATATATAAAAGATTAGACTATGCAGAAGTAATCGCATACTAAAAGCCACATTTACTCTTCTGAGACATCAATTATGATAAAATGACTGTCTGAAGTGCAGCCAGGTAATTTATTTTGGACAATGCCCACAATGCAAAGTCTACATCAGGAAGCCATCTAGAAGATACTAACCTCAATGTAACAAGAAGCGGAATCATGTTCACCAGATAACATAGCATCAAGTTCTCTTTCCTTTGAATCTCTTCTCATTTTAAGTAAAGCATTCATTGTTTCCTGCAGGCAAATACAAAGTAAATAAAAGAGATTACTAATTTAAAATCCCAAGCAACCAAACTTACATAAAATTATTAAAAGTTTAAATCCATGTCCATATGAAATACAAGGTATTAGAGAGAGCTAATAACTACTACTTTAATAAATGCATTATACAAATTATCTAAATGGCAGCCAATAGGGAAGCTAGAAGTTTTCAAAAAGTAAATTTAGCAACTCGCCACTTGTCAAATTTAACTTCTTTGTTCAAGAGAGAAAAAAGCTGAAATAAAGTCTCAGATGCATACCAGGCTAAATGAAAAGGTCTACCTGGGTAATTACGTATAAAAGACAAGCTAGCATTCTGATTCAATCATTTACACACTGTTAAGTGTTTATTATTAGATGACCTCAACAACCAAGCTGATTGAATTTTTTGAGCACATGTCATGCTAATCTAACTAGAAACTGGAGAGTTTTTGTGACAAAGAATATTTTTTAAAAACACACACAGACACCTAACTAAGCCAACAAGAGCCATTCATATGTCAAATTGTCACCTTTAGTTTACTAAAAACATTTAAGAGCATTGGCACTGCTCTTTCCAACGAAATGACACTCTAAACATAGGTAATTAAGTAGGAATTCTATGGTGACGAAGAAAGAAAGCCGTTACACGTATAGTGAATGTTCTACAGGCAGACAGAGAACAGCTAGAATTAACACTTAACAGTAACTTTAACCATCATTTGTTCCTGTTTTGCAAAGCATAAAATTTGTTTTCAGCAATCTACAAGCTAATAAAGTAAACATCATAGGGCATTGGTAATCTCATAAAAGGATTACTAGAAGCAAAATACTGCTAAACAACCTAGTAAAAAAGCAAAAAAAAGCACCTGCTGTGATGTTGCCACCATCAGTATCAGACAGTAACCAAATTTTACTACGTCTAATCAGTTAGGTTTGTTTGGCACAAAAAACAAAATGCCTTCCAGATGTTTCAAGGAGGAGCAACCTAGCTTCTCTGGTAAGTTTCCAGAATTCCTACACACGAGCACAAACCAACCGCTCCCCCAAGCATCCCCAACAAAAGGGCTATAAACCAGCTTACTTCGCCAAGTCTATGATCTATCTAACAAACTCCGTCAGTGATCAGTCTTTACTCAACTTATAGTCTCAGTTACAACTACTCAAAGATATTGCTATCTGATGGTACTCCAAACTTCCCACTTGACAGATGTGCACCCAGTGGCTATGACAACTGTTTCAACACATTGAAAAAATACTTTAAAGAAAGAGAGAAATCATGACTTTAAATGGTGTTTCTTCCAAAATTATACAAGACCTTCAATAACAGATGTCCCATTTTCATTTTGCTTTGTAAAAGTAGTAGGAAATTCCAGGGTCCACCTTCCACCATAGAGTTGATTTGCCCACATTCTTCTTACCAGATATGGTAGCAGAAGAGGATTCACAAGCGCCCCGTTTAGCATCTACTCATCTAATATATTGCTAGATCTCTATCAGAATGGTTTTGAAGCTTATAGGTCCACAGACGAGAACTTAACTCTTGATTAGCTCTGACACCAACAACAGAATGCAGAAATTGATAGAAATTAGCATGAAAAATTGTGCAGTTTTTGTTCCACAACAACAATTCCTTAGTCTCAAAATGATTTGGGGAATTTTTGTTCCATAGATTTATTAAAACATGCAAACTAATCATCCAATAAATCTTGAAGGTATCAAAGCTACTACGAAAATGTACAGCAGATATATAGTGATAAATTCATAATTAATAATACACCATTTCCATCATGAATGACCTTCATATAAACATGAAGCAACTATTTTCAGTCTCTCATTTAGTAGCAATCGTGCATTGAAATTTGAAAGACAACATTTTCAAGCATCAGCAATTCAGATCGTGAATAACTATATGTAAAAATCCAAACTCAAAGCCCATAGTGATTTAATATACCTTTGCCAACAACAGAGAATAAAACCTGCAGACCCAATTTCAACAATAAATGAATTCTGAATTGAATCACTGAGGTATGAAGCATACTAAACATTCTCAAATATCAAAACATTGAAATTAGAAGTGATTAACATATTATATATCCACAAGGTCAAGACACGGTACAGTCACTTGGCAAGTTGGCAAAAACTAAGCTCGCTGGATATAACCACATTTTCTACAGTCTTGACTGCTTATTAAAAGATATGAGAACATGCCTAGAAGAAGTGAAGCGCACCGATTCCAACTCTGAATCATTCTCTTCTCGAGCAAGCTTCAGCATATCAATATGCTCAATCAACTCCTGCTCAAACTCAATTACCTCGTTCACTTTTCCCATGAGAGAACCATGCTCACGACTAATCTTTCCAGCATGAACAGGATCGTCCCACAGATTCGGTTTATCCAACTCAGCTGATAACATGTCCAAGCGCACCAGCAACTTTTTCCACTGCCAACATCAACATCACATATGACATTAGATAATACAACTTATAATGACCTAGGTAATACAACTATTGCAGATGTTTCCCATATTTACAAACTCAAACAAAAATCTTTAAATCAGCAAATTAAAAGTCACATCGAGGTTAAGGACTCAGGCATAGGATCTTCACCATCATTCCTAATTTATATTCAGATGTCAGCTAGCTTAGTGGGTAAAGTCTCGGAAGATAATACCCAAGACCTTCGATCGAATCCCTTCTACATAATTGCCCTATATGGCTTTCTATACACCTCATTTTTATCAAAACTTGTTACAAAATCACAAATTCAAACAACCCCACCTTCCTCCCACCAAAATAAATCCAGGAGAATAATAAAAGTAACATATAAACACATAAAATACAATAATGTACATGAATTTTGAGCATATACCTTACCTGCAATCGCTTTTTAATAAGATGAATAGACTGTGCAACAGCAGAAGCATGACTCTTCCAATCACCTTCATCTTCATCAAGTATTGGCCATCGACTAGCAACAATTCGTTCCACAGTTAATCCATCAGAAGTTGCTGGGTCTGCAATTTGAGAACTGAAACATCGAACCCCACTTGAAAAAATCAAACCCTGATTATACCCATTTGATAATTTCGCATTTTTAAGCAAATTTATTGAATACCCAGAATAATTTAACACAGGAATTGAATTCCCAATACAAGATATCGAATCTTGGAAGCTTGATTGCCTTGATTTGTGGTCATTTGGCGGGAAATTGTGAGTGTTTTGGGGGTTAAATTTGGAAGAGAAGAGCAAAGAGCTTAGATTGGGTGTTTGATGGAAGATTCGAGATCGTAAATTTGATCTTCTTCGTGCAAGAAAATGTATCATTTTCACTCGCCTCTGTTTGAGAAGAAACAAAGAGGGTTTATAGGGAAACGAAGGGTTTATGGAGAGTACAAATATGTTAATATGGTATGCATTTCCGCTCGATCCGACGTCGTAGTATTGTTTTGCTAAAGGGAGTTTGCCAAATTAGGAGACCCTCCTCACGAAGGGAATTTTTAACGTGTCGGTTTAAAATATAGAAATTAAAAGCTAATCCTGAAATATTACAATAATTGATTACTATGGAATTTACTACTAAATGTCCTATGTTAGTTATCTAATCTGATGCTTGATTTGCTTCTTGGTTGACATGTTTGATACTCCAATTGTTGAAATTTGACAAGAGATGCGCATGTTTTCAATAATTGTTTACTCCATATTATAGATGATGGTTTTTTATTCTTTTCTTTTTTCATACTTCGTATATAGAATTACTAGTTTAACCAGTGTAATTGTACGATTTTATCAAATTTTATAAAGATTTAAAATAATTTGTATTTAGTTCAACAATATGTTCTCTTCGCAGCCTGCCAAGCTTGCCCGTAGACATGGCTTGAAGAAGATCATTATCAAATATGATTTTCAAGCCATCACCAAGAGATTGACGAAGGCTGATATCTACTACTCTGACCTTGATTTTATAAAGCGGGAAGCAAATAATATAGCTCATCAGCTTACTAGGCTAATTTCTTTTGGGATTGAACAAGTTTGAAAAAATCATGCCCCAAACGAGATGATACCTTATGTATTGATGGACACTTTGTACCGTGATTAAACTCATTTCCCGTTTTTCTCAACAAAAATAACTACGTATAAGTAGAATTAAAAAAAAAAAAAAAAAAAAAAAAAAAAAAAAAAAAAAAGACCTCATGTTCCTCCGTTTCGCCCTCGTAATGTTTATTCTCTGATGCTCTTCACTCACCCTCTAACTTCTAAACTCTTGCACCCCATCAAACTCTCCCTAATCAAACACTTTTCTCAATCAACCCTACAAATTTCAATGTCAATTGAAACTCTAAAACAATCAAATTCAACTTCAATGGAAGAAACCCATTTGCCAAAAACCTCATCAAATTCCTCTTACCCAACTCCATTATCCCCACCATTACCTCTAATTTCTAAGGAAATCGAGCTTAGCAGAGCCATGGCTGCTTCTTCAAAGGCCACTGTTTTCTCTCTTTCCAGAGATGACGTCATCTTCGAGGATCAATGGTTGCTTGTTGTTAATAAACCCTCTGGGATTTACTGTGAGACTGTCCTGTCTTCTGTCCCTCGTCTTCTTCAACAATCTTCTGGTTTGTTGATCTTTCTTTTGAGTTATTTAATAATATATGTAACATTTGGAAGTTTTGGATTTATTTGATCAGATTTATAAGATTGTTATTGAATTTTGGGCATAACCCAGATGCTATAAATGTTTGAATTAAATTTAATTTGCATATTTTTATGTTGGAATTACTCTGTATAATTTTATGTAATGTTTGATTGATTACAACTTGTTTGGTAATGAAATGAATTAGAGAAAATGGGCATGAAGATTATGCTTGAACTAGGGAGTTTGATCTATTTTGATGTTAATGCAAGTAGCTTGTAGCAAAGAAATGAATTATTTTCATAAATTTAATTTGTGGTGAGAGGTGGATGTATTGGGCAATTAAAGTGAGGGAAGAGGAATAATATGCTTGCTTAGGGCCATTGTCCTGGATGCTGAACATTGCTGCTTGTATAGTTTGAAATACTGATGATGATGCTTGCCATTACGAGTGAGCAGGGCTTTTATAATGAGACATAGATGCCATAACATTTGTGAAATGGACAAACCATTATGTGCAAGAGTATGTTCAATAGTAGGAGTTTTAAATCTTTTGGGGTTTTGAACCTTACTATTTCAACTTATGTGCAATTGCATTGGGTATTTTCAGATTCAGTTGAAGCTTCAGAGTTACATCTTGCTAACAGGTTGGATCGTGATACAAGTGGTGTAATGGTTATAACCAAATTTCACAAAGTAGCTGCCAAGCTTGTCAAGGCATTTACTGATCACAAGGTTCAGAAAACATATATGGCTCTTTGTGTAGGGTCTGCACCAAAATGGGATAGAATCAGGTTGAAATCTGGCCATGGTAGATCTAAATTTGGTGCTTGGCGTGTATATGCTGCGTCAGATGTTGGTCGGAAACTACCTGGTGGATCTGTGGTGAAGGACATGGAGACACTTTTTGAGCTATTGTCAGTAAATAGGGTAATCCATTTTAAAGAGTCATTCCAGTGTGCAGAAAATCTAGAAAAAGTTGTGGTTGTTGAGGATAAATCATCAACAGATGCTAACCACGGAAGGGATGAGATATTGGTCCGAGCTTTTCCAAAGAGTGGAAGGACACATCAGATCAGGTTGCACTGTCAGTACCTTGGACTGTCAATTAAAGGAGATGTAAAATATGAAGGTGTCTGTGAGTGGAAAGGGGAAATTTGTGATGCCCATAGTCTTCATGCAGAGAGTTTGTCATTAGAACACCCTATTACTGGTCTTCCAGTAAAATTTCAGGCACCATTGCCTTTGTGGGCAACCCAAGCATGCAATCATGAAGATCACACATAAGGATGAACCAAGTCACATGCCAATTTGTATGCCAAGAGATAGTTTCATTGGTCAGTAGCATGGTTGGTAATGTAAATGACAGTCTGCTGTCGACGTGAGATGTTTAGATTGGGAATGTGCATTTAAGAATGGGAATCACATTTAAAATAATTTCCCTTATTTATTATGGACTGAAAAAGCCTTAGTTTCAATATATGCAACTTGAGCTATTGAGATTCTCTTGACTTGGTCAGCTACCCTTGTTTCCGTGTTCCAATTGAGTGCATTGACTCAATGGGCTGGGGCATCGTTCATTCGTTCTGACTTCTGATTGCTCTTAAAAATGTCTCAAAGTATGTATGGACCTCTTACTGAAGCAACTTTGTGGGAGTACTGGATGCAGAGAATTTCTTACGCAGAATACCAGTCTGAGAATAGTGCAAACAAATTGGCAATTGCAGCTCATAGCAAACATCTTGCAATTAGTCAAAAGTGGACATTAGGACTGTTGCCTCTTACTTTCAGCCCATTTATCGCAACAATCAATACATCCATATTTCCTGTCTTTTCCTGGGCTGTTCTCATGTATGGTTTTTGCTGGTAGAACTGTAGAAGCTTCTCCATGTGAAGATTTAAGGCTTCCCTTTGCAAAATGCTAACCTTTAGACCTTGGTTCTTTTTCTTGCAGAGATGAGTAGAAGAGGATGGTAAAAGCCAGGGTGTTGGAAGGGGTATGCTTTTGTTTTCCATACATCTTTCACTTTGTATGACAGAACTCTTGTTATTGTAGAGATTATCAGCCATTAGTGGTGTCAGCATACCTTGAATGAACAAACACGAGAGCTAGCTTCCTAAGCCATAAACTGCTAATATTCGTTAATTGTTAATGTTACTCGTAGCCAAGTGCAGGATGTGGCTGATGTAAGCAGAACAAGAGTAGAAAAGAATGTGATTTTTTGTTAGGCTTTGGGTTATACTTCTGTTACAGGCTCTTACAACATCCATATATGTTAAAGTTACTCTGTATTGCAGACACTCTGGCTGGTGTGTATGCAAATGCAATGTTTTTTTGGGAATTCCCTGCTCCAATACCAACTGGCATTGCTATTGATGCTTGTGGTCCAATTTTCTCCCATACTCCCATTGGTGATAATGCTGGGGAAAGGCAGCTTGGTGGGCACGGGCATTAGCTAGAAGCCGTCATGACTTAAGAGTGAACTAATGCTCTTGATGCTGCTGGCAACACAACTGCTGCCACCGGAAAGGTTAGGCACACCAAATTTTAGTTATAGTGATGCCACATAAATTTGGAAACTTTTTTATTAATTCGCAATTAAAAAAACTAGTTACCATACATGCCTATTGTAATGTACACCAGAACAGAAGAAATTAGCTATGCTATGCAGGCTTGTTTTATGAATCATGCCAAAATGCTGGGACCACAAAGGGTCAAATTCACCCAAGGCGGCATTCATTGGCAGCACCATTAGCGACTTCCATTTTAAGGACACCTCCGGCCCTGCACTCAACATCCTTAACAAATTCATGTCAGTGGAATCTGTGGTGTTTGCTCCATTCTTTGCGGTCCATGGTCTGACTGTCAACCTTGTTTAGAACTACACCGTTATGGACTGCTTATAATATTGTTAATTTGCTATCCAGCAGAATATATAATTATCTTGCAACAGTTCAACCAAGAGGTCCATGGAATTAGCTATTTGGCAACATCATGAGCATGTAAACCGAGAAGTCAATCATCTTGCCAATTTCATTGCAGTTATGGACCATCACCCATCATATTGATCAATAAGGAAGTTGAAGCTAATCTAGGCCAACATAGGGCCTTGACCATCTCATACAACTATCAAATAAACTAGGGTAGTCACTCCATTGATCATCCTCGGTGTTGCATGATTTGTCCTCTATTTAACCGAAACTTGCTATCAAGTCGGAGTAGGTAACATGCAGTAATAGAAAACACATAAAATGCAAATGTAGATCATTCTCATCTTCAATTGGTTTTTTAAGCTTATCCCATGTGATATCTTACTGTTGTGAACCCGAAAATTGTTAAATTGGTAAACTACTCTAGGAAAACTGATCTTGCTATTTTTATAAGAGTAGTTGCATCCAAAGTGCAGATTTATAATGATAGTTTTATGGATACTTTAGATAGAAGTTTTGAATTAAAAAATTATGTAAATATTAAGAAAAAAAGAGAAAGTAATAAGCAATAATTATTATCAATAAGATCATGGTCGCTTTTTAATGCAAATGTATTCCTTTTATTTGGCTTCAAAGTTAAGCATCCAGAAATGGGCTAGTTAACTTACGTGAGGATTGGGGCATGTTCTTATTGCACTCATCTTACATTCTAACTATCAATACCTAACAAAATTCATATTATTTTATAAGCAAGCCCCAGTTTATAACCTTGATAAACAAATTATGTTTATCAAATGGCATTTTCGTAAATAAGTTGCATTGAAAATTGCATTTTTTGATTTAAAAAATATATTTTTCCTGTTTGTGGGCCACTAGGACAAGTTGGACTGATTTTTAGAGTTAACACCGTTTACTACTATTCATCTTCTTCCTCCCACCTTCTTCTTCATGTTCATCTTCTTCCTCTTGTTTATATTTTTTCTTCCCACCCACCTTAATCTTCTTCCTCCAATCTTTGCTCACTTTCACCTTCTCTTCCAAGTCTGTTTAACACCATTTTCGTCGATTTCGCCGGCAAAATTAAAGGAAAACCCTATTAACAAAAGGAGAAATTAATGGCATGGTTAACCCTGATGGGTAGCTGAGTTTTCCTTCCTCTATTAAATTCGACTTCGTACCAGCCGCCGGAATTAAACGAAAACTCAAATAACAAAGTGAAAATAACGAACATGGTTAACCCTAGAGGGTAGGTAAGCTTTTCTTCCTCCATAGATGTCACTTGTCGAGTCATAGTGAGAAAGGGTATTTTCCACCATTGAAATTGAAGGTTGAAGGGGGAGAGACGAAACAACAAAAGGTTGAAGGAAGAGAGAGAAAATAAAAAAATACCAAAAGGTTGAAGGAGGAGAGAGAAACAACAGTTAACCAAAAATTAGATGTAATTTACATATACACCCTTTGATAAACAATTTTTATTTATCAAGATTATAAACTTGTATTCTCTTTTATTTTATAAGGTCACGTTGAAGTGATAGTTGCTATTAGTAACTTTATACTATATTTTTCTCTCTTCAAAATGACAACACTTGGTCCACTTCACAATTAGAATTTTAGGATTTAGGAATATACTAGCCTTATTAGGTGGGGAGGGGTGTTATCATGATTAATATCTCGTGGTAGTGATGGAACCATAATTTTATTTTAAGCAAGCGAAACTAATGTATTTCACGCTCATATCTAACTCGTAAAATTAATACACTAAAATTTTAAGACATTGATCCGACTGTAATTCTAAATTTTTAATGTTTATAATTTCAAAATGAACATGTATGACTTTAGATCACCAACTATGCCATAACTTTTGAGTGATCTTCAAATTAATAGGAGATCATGGCCTACCCAACCCCCCCTTCCAAACCCCATTGCCGCCCCATCTGTGGTGGTTTTACTTTTTTTATGGTTTGTCTTTGCATGATTTGTCTTGAGGATAATAAATGATTTATGGTTGTAATTAAAATAATCCAAATAAATTATATAAAAATTTCAAGCATAATTATATTAGGATCTTGCTAACAAACGCCCCAAGAGTTAGATAAACATTTAAAATATTTCCTAAAATAGTTTAATTTGGGAATGCATGCCAAAAACACGGTGAGTCGGTTGGTGTATAATGTTCATTTTAATTTAATAATTCTACTTTTAGTTATCTTATCCAACGCCCCTAGGTCTTAAAATATTTTTATTTTTTATTTTTGTTTTTTTATAATATTAATCTACTCTAAACCCAACCCATTTGAATTTTCAAATTATAGTTAATTTTGTATGTCCCACATAGTAATATTTTTGCATTGATCTTTCATTTAACACCACATTAATATACCTTTATTTCCACAAAAATAATAAAAATACTTTCCTTTAAAATCACAAACCAATAAATGTGCACATGCGCATCTCACGTGACTATTCTTAATAAACCCCAAAAACAGTAGTAAAAAAACCCAAAAACCCAACCAAATGGCATTTTCACTAAATAACACCATAAACCAAGGGCAAAAGCATAATTTCACACTCAAACCAGCTCGTGTAAATTCCCAATAAGAACTCGCCACGTCAATCCAATGACACTGGTATCCAACGTGTCAAAAATCCATTGGACCACGTCATAAAATAATTTCCACTTAGGACTAACCAAGTGTAAATTAAAAACTCGTTAGAAAAAGTCTAAACTTCCCCAATATAATTAGCCTTGATTTCATGGTCATTTCTACATTTCTCACCTTCCTCAGTTTTCTCTCTCCTCTCACACACTCCTCAGAGTTCGCAACAATGGAGATTCGGCGTCGAAACCCTACAGCTTTCTCTCTCCTCGTCTTACTCTCTCTCTTCGCCATTGCTTCTGCTAAAGTCTTCTTTGAAGAACGCTTCGACGGTATACGCTCTTCCTTGCATTTTATCTGTTGTATTCAATTTGTTAATTTGGATTCTGGATCTGATTTTTTTATTTTGTAATTTGTTGTTTGTTACATGATTTCTGATTTGATTGATTGATTGATTAGAATTTAGCTGAATTTTGATTCGGATCATGAAATTTGTTGATTGATTTGATGAAATGACGCCTGTTTTAGTGTCTAATTTGGCTTGATTTTGTTTATATCATACGCCATTTTAATTGTTGTTGATTTGGTTGTTAATTTTGATATGATTGATGTGTTTTTTGATATGATTGTGTATGGATCTGATTTTCTTGATTGTTCGAATTTATTGTAGATCCGTGCAAAATTTGATCTATCTGTTGTTTTTTGCAGCTGATTATATAATTCAGAAGTTCTAAATGAATGAAAATGACTTCTGTGAATTGTAAATTAGTCAACGAATTATAATTGTTGAATCAGAGTGTCACCGAGTAGTCCTTGTCGTTCAGAGTGAAGTGTCCCCATGAACTAGCCATATCTATGAGAAATGACACAGAATTGGTGTACGGTGTATCTGTGTAGGCTGTCTCGGTGTATCATGAATGTATGGACAACCGATGCAATGCCTTAATATTTTAAGGTTTAATTTAAGGGCATGCTTGGGTTGGGGGTAATATATTAAGGTTTAATAAAAGTTAAACTTGAAAAAACATAAGTAATTAGTAGGGTTGTCGTAGGAGAGTAAGGTATTTACAAATGAAATAAGATAATTGAGCCATGAGGAAAAGAGAGAGATGGAGGAATTATTATCCTTATAATGAGGGTAATAGTTACCCACCCTCCCCCTAGTGTAACTATTACCCCCAAAATGAGGGTATTAGTTCCTCTTTCTTCGCTTCATACCACACCCATCACTACATAATTTTCCTTACAATCACACCATCACTATCTCCTCCTTCCCTATTTTCACTTTCATTTTGCTTAGTTTGACTTCCTCTTTCTTCACTTCATACCACACCTATCACTACATAATTTTCCTTACAATCACACCATCACTATCTCCTCCTTCCCTATATTCACTTTCATTTTGCTTAGTTTGACTTTTATTACCCTAGTAATACATCTCCCTCAATTCAAGCATGCCCTAAGTGTTTCAATTTAAATGACTGTTTTGGCTTGATGCCGATTCCTAAATCCTACTTAACATTTTGGTACTCCACTACTCATATGGGACTGTGGTAAGGATCCGAGATGAGTATTTGAGGATGTTGAGGTTGAATTAAAAGTCGGAGTACACTTTCAAGCTGAATCAGGTCTTAGAAGACTAATAATGGAAGTTATATTTCCCTGCAAACTTTGTGTGAAACTAATATTTAGTACTATAAGTGTGTTAGCTTAGCTATTACCATGTGAGCACCAGATTTCTTACAATTTCATCATACCCTTGACTGTGATCTCCCTTGATCCCTTATAAAGACATGAAAGTGTAGTTACAACTTACAAGCATGGTTACCATATTTTAAAGGCATTGAGTTGTTGAGAAGTTTGTATCTTGATTTTTTCTCTTGTATTAATTTCATTTCTTTTGGCTAATCAAGATGGATGGGAGAGTCGTTGGGTCAAATCTGACTGGAAGAAGGACGAAAGCATCGCTGGAGAGTGGAATTACACTTCCGGCAAATGGAATGGGGATGCAAATGACAAAGGTATTCTTTGATGATGTATTTTCCAGTATATCCAAGCATTTGTCTTCTGGTTTTGCTTCTTAAGTTATAACTTCTTTAACCCATGTGTTGCAGGTATCCAAACTAGCGAGGACTACAGATTTTACGCTATCTCTGCTGAATTCCCAGAATTCAGCAATAAGGATAAAACCCTAGTCTTCCAATTTTCTGTTAAGCATGAACAGAAGCTTGATTGTGGAGGTGGTTACATGAAGCTACTCAGTGGTGAAGTTGACCAGAAGAAATTTGGTGGGGATACCCCATACAGGTAACTATTTTTTTGGTTCCATTAAAGGACTGTGCTTTTGCATTATTACTTTTGTTTTTAAGTGTTCAATTTTACTGATTTGAAATGTATAATTTGTTGTTGTTGTTGCAGCATTATGTTTGGTCCTGATATCTGTGGCTACAGTACTAAGAAAGTACATGCCATTCTTAACCGCAATGAAACAAATCACTTGATCAAGAAGGATGTCCCTTGTGAGACTGACCAGCTGACTCATGTTTATACCTTCATTCTCCGCCCAGATGCTACCTACAGCATTCTTATCGACAACCAGGAGAAACAAACTGGTAGTCTTTACGATGACTGGGATCTACTTCCTCCTAAGAAGATCAAGGACCCAGAGGCTAAAAAGGTATTTACTTTCTGAGAAAATTCGTAATTGATCTTCCAGTTCCATTTGGATGGGCAACTGAACATTTATACTAATTAATCTGATGAATGTGTGATTTTTAGCCTGAGGATTGGGATGACAAGGAGTACATTCCTGACCCTGAAGACAAAAAACCAGAGGTATTTATATTATTTTTCTGATCCTCCTTCTCCCTTTTGATACTGGATGATAATTAGATTGCTGAATTTTTATCTTCGTGTTGGAATGATGAACTTATCATGTATCTTGATTTTTATAGGGTTATGATGACATCCCAAAAGAAATTCCCGATGCTGATGCTAAGAAGGTAATGTGTGTTTAAATATGTGTAAAATGTTTAAAGTCAGACTTTGCTATTGGATATGGCTGACATGTCATATGATTTTCAGCCAGAGGACTGGGATGATGAGGAAGATGGTGAGTGGACTGCTCCGACCATTCCAAACCCCGAGTACAAGGGTCCATGGAAGGCAAAGGTTTGTTCCTTTTCCTTTATTTGTCAAATCTTCACGAAATTGATTTGCATTGCTTATAGTTAACAAGTTATATATGTTGATTACAGAAAATCAAGAACCCCAACTACAAAGGCAAGTGGAAGGCACCTTTGATTGACAACCCAGGTTTGCATCTTGTTCTCACTTCTATGTCTACATTACCCCTTGCCTTTTTTTTTTTTTTTTCGCGGCCAGAATCTCTTAAATTTAAGTTGAATATCTGATTAAATTACTTTCATATTTCAGAATTCAAGGATGACCCAGAACTCTATGTTTACCCCAACCTCAGATATGTTGGTGTTGAGTTGTGGCAGGTAGCTTTTAGTTCTTTTCTTGTGTTGAATGTTGATATATGCTCGATGCTATTATGATAAGCATATTGATGATGTCAGTGATATTTTTCAGGTTAAGTCTGGCACACTCTTTGACAATGTCTTGGTCTCTGATGACCCTGAGTATGCAAAACAGCTGGCTGAAGAGACCTGGGGCAAGCAAAAGGATGTAAGTTGGCTTGTTTCTCAAGTTAGGAAGCGATTATCTTCAGTATTTCAGTCTTTGTATTTGAGTTATCCGACATGTTTTGCATATCTTTGCAGGCTGAGAAGGCTGCTTTTGAGGAGGCTGAGAAGAAGAGGGAAGAAGAGGTATGAGCGTTATATTTTTATTTTTATTTGTCTTTTTTAATGTGTATTGTATATGAAGCTTCTTTGAGTATATCCTTGTGACATCTCTTTCGTGTCTCTTCTGAACACTATTACATGTTTGTAAGAATCGTAACCAGTAATAAAGTGGAAGCCTGGATGGGGGCATCCAGTTGGATATTAGTTTATTGCTCCAATTAACTTATACTATCTGTCAATAAAAAACCAACATATGGTCTCAGGTCTTTAAAACCTCATGTCACTAATAATGCTATTGAATCTTTTCAAATTAATTTGTGTAACTTCATGATTGCTTAGAAATCAGGACGCCTCAATGCCAACTGGCCTGTGTTTGGCTTGATGTCGTGGATTGTTTTCCTGTATGATTGTGGTGGTGTGGTGATTATTCTTTCCATTATCGCATGAATTATATTGTATACTGACTCAATTTTGATACTCCAAGCAGGAAACCAAGGACAGCCCCGTTGATTCTGATGTAAGTTTTAAACTAAATCTCTGGTCTGAGTATACTTTTCAATTCTATCTTGAGAAAAATGTTAGTGGGCAAGCCCCTTATTTTTTCATGGTTTCTCCAGGCTGAGGATGAAGATGAAGCCGATGCTGACGACTCTGATGCTGATGCTGACAAATCAGATGACAAGGATGAGGACAAGCATGTATGTCCATTGATAAATTTCCTCTGTATATTGCACAACAGTGTGCTGACATTGTCTTTATTTCCTAATTTCGGTCATTTTTTGTTGTGTGTTTTACAGGATGAACTTTGAAGAGCAGATCAATATGAAGTCTTTAGACGAGGATCTTAATTATTTTTAATTCAGGCTCATTGTTCGCTGGCAATTTTCTCTTGTCAACTTTTAGCATAGGTTTTTGGTAGTAGATTCAAATGACACCAAGTTAAAGGCCTGTATGACAGATTGGTTTATCTCAATTAGGCTATATTTGGTGGATAATAGCAGAAGGCCAACAAAAGTTCCAGTTTTTCGTAATATATTAAACATTATATAGAGATTCTGGAATGGTAAATGAGCTGAGTTATGTCTAATTCGTTGCGTATCTCTTTTACTGGTATAGTTTCTGTCTGTATTCTCCTTTGTTAGCGCCTATAGCAATACCTCATTATGTTTAGCTCAAGAAGGTCCTATTTCCGCTAATAATTCCGTTAAGTAGGTGTTATCCCTGTGAAAAGATCATTTGATGCTTCTTGTTTTCCTTTTAGAAGCGAAATTGCAGCAGTCTGATTTACATGGTTTGATTCAGCACTTCAGGAAGTAATTTTGTGCTCTTGTTTGCCTTGTAATCACAAACAACGGGACTGTTATTATAATTAGCAGCAGCAGCAGCAGCCTGATTTCCTTGACAAATGGCTTGGACTAATACAATAATTTCAGAATTTGGTTCAATCTTTGGGCATAAGAACATTATACAAAATTAATCATATTATCGTATAGCTCACTTTAAGGCAAAAAATAAATAAAAAATCATACTTCAACTGTATAACGGATATGTGAAATTCAAGTCCTTGACTAGAATTTTTACGAGGAAGCTCCACTTAATCAATTTGATAGACAAAATCTGTTTATCATATGGCAAAATGGTAAATAAAACAACATAAATGTCCTGTTAGCATGACATTTTCGTAAATATATCAACAGTGGGCCCTATCAACAACAATGACCCTATATTTAATAAAAAGTTGTCGATTTGTTTACAATTTTGCCATTTAATAAACAGATTTTGTTTATCATATTGATAAACTTGTATTTTCTGTATTTTTACTAGCAGTAACATATATTGATGAAAATAATGGTTCGTATTCTCTTTTTTTCGCATAGCCAAGACGAGCATTTTATTTTGGCATCTTAACAACTAAAACAGGGCAGCTCGCATTTTGGACGCAGTGATGGCTCACACTCCTCATTATCGCCCTGTCATTCATTTGTATGCACACAATAAATGAAGGATGTAAATTTACAAACTATAAAATGAAACAAAAATTCCAAACAGAAGGTAATAAGTTGGCATCACAACGTTTTTTGTGTAAGAAAAATGTAAGAAATAAAATTAAAGGTAATAAGTTTTAACGCGACGTTTTTGATGTATAAATTACCTGGCGAGTTGACTATACCCATGGCTTCCCATGACAAGCAAGTCCGCCTTCAAAACTTTCACCATCTCACATATTACATCCCCTGGATCCCCTTCTTCTACCTTTTTCTCGACTTTCACCTAGGAAATTGAATAAATTTTTTTTGTAAAAACGGCAAATTAAAAACTAAACTAATTTTATCACAAAAGTGTTCACGATGACAAACACAAGTATAAACACGAGTTAGTGAATATTATTGCAAATCAATTTTCGCTTAAGTAATAATACTAAAAGATTGAACGCTAGAGAGTTAATTGAAGTAGGAAGGCCAATCACTAATCACTCACATCATGCTCCGCACAAAGCTTATCGGCCTTCTGAAGGATCCAACATGCCATTTCATTGTCCCGCCTATCTAGTGATGATAAAGCATCATGGGAGCTCAAATATGCTGGATATTCAACAGTAAACAATTAATTTTGAACGAACAAATACAAAAGAAAATATATACGGAGTACTTCACATATATTCATATTTGTAGAATTCAACAAGAATATTTACCAAGTATAATACAAGTGCAAAAATAATTGCTAAAAAAGAAGCTTTTAATAAAAATACTAGTCTATAATTTCTTTGTATTATCAGAGGACTGGTCTTTAACTTTGCACCAAACAAATAGGGTTTTATAGCTAGAGACCTTTCATCATAATGGCATGATGCCCACCCAATTAGGCATATCAATAAAGCTTTTCAATGGAGTTGACCATAAATTTACAAGCACAGGCGATCATCAAGACTAACTGAACATATATAGACCTATGCCCTAAAGAATATATTTTGAGACGATGATATGATGATGAAATAATACCTGAGCTATCCAAGCCAGGGTACACAACAGTAGGTCGCTTGGCATGGAGGAGTACAAGGGCATCCTTACAATAATTTCGTGGTTGTCGTTGAACGATGTTGTTAAGGCACCATGACAAAGCGTACATGCTCTCTTCACTCTCATCCACGGCCACCACTATCCTCCTCGCCTCGCCATCTCGGCCATCCGCAACTACGACGACATTATCACTACCCATTCCTAATATTAATTCGTCACGTGAATGGTTAAAATACTATGGTTTATTTCTATGTATGGCGTTGTAACAAATTATATTGATGAATTGAGTTTATATAATATGGTTTTGGAAAATGGAATATACTCTTTGTGTGTAGTACGATATGTCGTTGGAAGATAAAAGTAAATGGTTTTTCTGGAAGAGGTAACTTTTCAAAACAGAAGGGCCGTTTATTTTTCTAATGTTGAGGAATCGAATTTTTTTGATGGTGTCAAAAGACATAGAAAAGCATGAAGATTGCATGTATGAAAGAATTAAAAATTGTAACCTTTTATTAGTTAAGAGACGGTATTAAATTTAGAGCCCACATTTTGCTTTTGTGGTTTTAAAAATATAGGTAGGTCTTTTAAAGTATGTTGAAAGATATATAGCTTATGAAAACAGCTACAAATAATAATTATAATGCGTTTAGCTTTGCTTACTATGAGGAATTCTAGTGGTGGTATTTTGTGGTTTGCGGGCTTTTTCTTTTGTTTTATTTAAAGGATCTTCCTAACAAGCGTTTCGTCTGGGGTGTTAGATAAGGGATTAATATATTACTTAAAATAATATTAAGTTCGAAATGCATGAAAAAATCACGCGTCGATCGGTATAATTAATATTATTTTTACTATAATATTTTCACATTTAGTTATCTTATCTAACGCTCCGAGGACTCTCGTTAGCTTTTGCCTTATTTAAAAGTAAAAAAATATTTTATGAGTTATCAAGATTGGTTTACCCTCATGAGGCTATGTTCTTTAATTTACACCAATAAAGTATATACGTTGTAGTTATTTTGGATAAAATAAATTTTGATTAATTAATTTCATGGACGGGGCTAATAAAAGGCCGGCTACCTATTTTCAATTCATAAATACAATAAAATTTAATAAGGTAACATAAACACAAATAGTACAAAGCTTAATAAGTAAGAAGGTACAAAATTCTATAATTTGATTGAAAAAAAGGGTGCAAGGCTGTAGTTTTGATAAAATAAGTTCAAGTCTAACATTTTACATAAGTTCATCAATTTTCAAGGAAGTGAAATCCAAGTAAAAAAAACTCTACAAGTATATATTTTTAAGTACATGTAATCACTATACAAAAATAATGTTTATATCGTCACTATAAAATTCATACTATATTGAGTATTATTTAAGATAAGTCTAAGTAAGTGAAATTCGTAAAACACTATATTTGTATTCACTTTTCTTTCAAAATCAAATGTTATATTTTTTATTAACGATTTCTATGCGTACTCTCATACTATACGATTTCTATAAGAGTAGAAGTGTAGAGCTTCATAAACCACCATAGCCTTTAATGCTAGACCCATATAAAACAATACATTTTCAAAGTCGCAAAAGTAAGGAGTGAAATTAATTTATAGGTCTCCAAAGGACCAAAGTATGAGTTGGGGAATAAATTCAGCAACTTGCTTGTTTGAGACCTTTTTCAATCAAATTACTAGTATATGACTTTGGGTCGAATATAAGCGATGTGTTGATATTCTAGAACCTAGATTTATGACCACCCGTCAAAGAAACAGGCACACAACTTGGAAGTTTGGAGCCGAGATCGAATGGTTTGACAAAGTGGAGGATCATGACCTAGGATGCTAGAGAATAAACAATAGAATTGGAATGACACGGTTGTTCTTGTGAAATTTGTGTCATGTTCAACTTTATATTATTGTATCTTTCAAAGACGGCTATCTAGAAGGTTAACCAAGGCTAAGTTGTCTAAATATGATATTTTATCAAACTAAAAATTATAGAGTTAGAGATCAAAGTGTGAGTTTTATAATATTCACAATCACATAACACATATTCACAATAGCATAGTACATCGAACAAAAAACTACTTTCGGTTTTTTATTCAAACAACTTGTAACCTCAACATTCAAGTTGGTCATATACATTGTATATTCAATTGATAATAGTACATGACTAATTGACTACGAGTCACATGATTTACTCAATAACCCATAATATAATATAAAGGAAGAATTTCAAGTTGATAAGTCTGATTTACAAACTTTTGCATATTAGAAGGTATGATAGTCATTTCAACCATTGATTTGTGTGTGACTTTGTAATTTCGGCGCTTTCTTCCTCCGTTCTCCCAATCTCAGGTTTCCTTTTTTCTTGGCTACTCTATCCTAGATTTTCGACTTAACTCTAACTAGACCACATGCCCTCATCTTCACTTAGACTTGACCGACCCTAGCTAGCCGCGAAGCAGTGTTTAGGAAATGCTTTCCATAAGGGGTTATATATGACTACTTTATACACTTAGCTATTAGCGTGTCTTTTGTTTGGCCGATCGATTTACAGTCGTGAAGCGGCGTTTTAGGAGATGCTTCCCCAATGGCATTGATGGAGTCATGGTGTCGATAATAGGTTTTGAAGATCTAAGGAAATGGTGCCTTCTCCGTGATGTTGGGATAGAGTAATTATTGGTGGTAGTGGCTATGATGGGTGCCGAGAATAGAGGTGTCGAAGGACAAGGATATGCTTTTTATTTATTAAAAATAGAAAAAACAAAAACAATGTAAATTATTACAATAATGTCATGCATATCAAGCGGATTGTTGAAGGCTCCCTCAATACAAAGTTGTAACCTTTTACTTGATCAACCAATTTGAAAAAATGATCCATAAACTTTAGAGTTTGGCCCATTATAGAGGCATTTTTTTCCCTTAACCAAATTTACCAAACCAGTTAAGACATTTATCTCCCGGCAACAAACCCCACTGCCGACGACCACACTGCTCATCTACATACGGCGGCAGTGGCGGCGGTAAATACCTCGTGAAACTAGGGGTGTCCATAATTCGGATAAAAACCGAAATCCAATCCAATCCAAACCGAATTATCAATTCGGATCGGATCCGAACTTTAAATCGGATCGGATCGGATTGAGATTTTTTGGAAATTCGGATTTTCGGATTGGATCGGATTGACCCTAATTGGATCCAATCTAAACCGAAAACCGAATTGTAAAATTAAGCTTGTATAAATATGGATTTCTGTATATTTTGAAGTTTAGCTCAAATACTTAATACTACATAAAATAAATTAGAGAGACTTTGTATTAATTAATTAATGACTTGACGTTGAACTATGTATTTTAATCATGATTTTGAAGACTTTTATTTATAGTAAAGCTTTATTTTTATAATTGTATTAGACGCTAAAAAAATAATGTATTATAATTTGGATTTTCGGATCGGATCCAAATAACCGAATTTTAATTCAGATTGGATCGGATTAGATCAAGAGAGAAATTCGGATCGGATCGGATTGGAAAATTGAAAATCGAATTATATTTCGGATTGGATCGGATTTGGACTAAATCCAAACCGAAAACCGAACGGACACCCCTACGTGAAACTACCAACATTCGAATTTCAATCTTCTTCAACTCAACTATCAAATCTTTGTTTCTCCATTCAACATTTTCTCAGGTACTTCAATTCATCTCTCATTCCTTAAAGTTTATTGTTTAATTCGATTACTTTTCTTGTTGATCCTAATCGATGATCGGTGCAATAGATGTTGCCCTAATTTGTAATTTCATATACTGTAATATGTTAATCTGGCGCTAATTTTTATCATAATTTGATTCTTTAGTTTTTTGACATAATCAATGCATTGTTCAAATTGTTTATGTGCTTTGTTGATTTGCGGTTTTTCTTTAATTGAAAAGCAATAGGAAATGGAATTTTGAATGTTTTAATCTAATTGCTAGCTTGAGTTCAGTATGAATGCTTTGATTTTGGCGGCATTGGTTTATGTTGAAAGAATCAGCTATTTTGCAATGATGTTACCCAATATTATCTGAAAGCATCTTCATGAGATGATTCTAACAGCGTTACTTCTTCGTGTATTGATGACGTACCTTGCCGTAGCCATGTCCTTTCTAGTTGTTTTTGTTGCTGCTTTCCTGTGTCTGTATTCGTATTCGAATCTGTAATGCAGCAACAGCCAGAATGTGCAGAGGAGTTCTTTAGCATGAAATGTGCTAGAGCAAGGATGTGATAGAGTTGTTTCCTTTAAGAATTTTGTCGTCATTATATTCATATAGGCTCTGGGGTCAGGGACTCAGGGTTAGGGCCTGTGATCATGTGATGGATTGTTGTTTGCTACGAAATTTAATCAGAGAAAATTAAGCCTACATGGCTACACTTGATATGAAAACGAAAAGTTGAGTGAAGACGATAAGTTCAAAAAGCAGTTTTAAACATACTTGTGCAGTTTGTGCCAACAAGAACCTTGATGTGATTCTCTGTTCCCCTCTCTCAGTTTCTCTCCCTCTTTCTAGTCCAACATATTAGATAGCGACTGAACTTGTATATCCTTGATTCAGTGCTTGACCTGCTGCAGTTTTAGGTCCAGCAACCCCAAAATACTGCAGTTTTTTTAATTAGGATATCAATGTATTACCATCATTGTGTTCACTTCTTAGGTTGATTCGTCATTGGTAACTAATTGCTTAAGAATTTGAGCTTTAGTTTTCCATTAAAGCAAACATGGCAACATGGTAACTACAACTCTTTAAGTTTCTTGTATTCAATTTTAAATCTCTCTATTAACAGTTAGCATTCGGACAGGGTGTATGCTGTTCATAATCAACCCCTTCATGCGAACTGCCCAATAGTTACTGTTTAAGTATCCTTCAAGTATTTGCTTTTATTCTCTTTTGACAAACTTACTATATTTTCAATCTTTGATGAGCTATCTTCTGTTTGAATTTCAGATTGTGAGTATATAGTCTCTAAACTCACCAAGATATGTGGATTTCTATAATTTCTGGTCTTGGAGCTCAGGCAATTAAGAGATTGACCCAAGGTTTGTTTTTGAATATTCAAATTTCCTTTCTATTAAATTTTCTTATTTAAAATGGTTGATTGGTTGGTGTTTGTTAACTCTTTGTATCACTTTCATGTTTGTTTAGATAGATTGCGCTATTTATTATCTGTATTTCTAAAATGTGATACGGGGCTTTTATGTGCTTTTATTGATAAGTTATGTTTCCATCAATTCAGCTAAAAGCCTAAAATAATATATTCCTTTTGAGATAAGGTTTTCAGTAGGATGCAGTGTTTGAGCAGTTGAGGTGCATGGCGTTAGGGGTCATTCGCTTTTTTGTGGTATAGGCAAAGTGATTTTGATTAAGCGCAACTGAGGTTCATAGAGGCACACCGCACATCACAGTTTTTTTTTCAGATCTTTTTTATTGTTTATTATATGTGCCTCACTTTGTCAAGGCCTACGAAAAATTCTGAATCGCCTTGAGCTTTCTCATACATTGGTAGGAGGTCTGATAGTGGCATTCACTTGAAGGTTGATATAGGGGCTATTTTGTGCTGTGGATTAGAATTTTGCTATGACAAGTTAGTAGTCACTTGTATAGATTGTGAGCATTATTTTAGAAGTTATTATTACAGCTATATTGCGTGTAGATTGATACATTATAGGTATTAGCTGTCTTAATCATACTAGCGTAACAAAAACTTTAGCAAGTTGATGCTCAGGTTTGTATGAGATTGAACTGTGGTACTGAGAGCTGGGAAATTGAGAGTAACCTAATTATTTGTTGGATGGGCTTTGAATAGTTGAGTATACGAACATAGTGATTTTTCGACCTGTACTTTGTTTTTGGGTAAACAGGCACAAACTTAACAATAAAAGCATGCTCAATAGTTGCTATTCTAAACATTCAGCAAAAATGTCAATTAAATGTGAGAAAATAAACAAAGGGAAACAGATTTGGTAGAATTGTATCCTATACTTGTGGCCCTAGTAGGTGGCAAAGAGGTCTCTTGTGGTATATCTCGGTAGCTGATGCTTGCTGCATTTCCCCACAGCTAGGGTGGGTAATTGCAAATCAAAATAACTGCAATTCTTTTAAGCTTTCATGAATTGTTTTTATTAGTCAATTTTTTTTTTGTAATTTTGCTGAATACTTAGAATTAGGAAAGAAAAGGCTCTGGTGGTTCAACAAATAAAGTATTAAATCTCATAAAACTATTTTTATGGTTTCACAATAAGCAATCATAAGGTTTTAATTAGTGTTCATGACAACTTATGCTTCTGGGTAAAAGTACCATGAGTTATTAATGAAAAGGTGCAGAGGGTTTTTTTTTTTTCTTTTCCTAACTTTATATACCAATTTCTTTATTCTGGTAGGGAAATTTGTTTGCATGCCAAAGGCTCCATATTTAAATGTTTCTTCTTCCCGGGTACAGACTTTGCTTCAGCTTCCTCCCCAGGTATCACTTAATCATAATTTGGATTTATTTGATTATTTAAATAGATACCAGCAATGATATGCACTAGTATGGTATTCACTGCTGGCTTTGTGGTTATTGTATTACTGAACTCATACTTTGATCCTCTATCCTTTAACCTATAGCAAAGGCTGATTTTTCCTATGGTTCAAGGTTATGTTGGCTTTATGTTAAAAGGCTTCTCTTGCTAATGTAACTCTATTATTAAGGTTTTTGTAATTCACTGCAATCTAATATAAGCAGGAAAGCTTCATTTACCTATCTGTTGGTAGCAATTACTTGATGATTATGCTTTAGACATGACCTAGCCCTATGCAGGACATTCTTATTTGGCTGTTTGCTTAGAATGAGCTGATACTGCTATTTGGGCAGTTGATGAATCATAAGGGTAGTCTTTAGTATTGTTTCTACTTTCATATGCTCATATGCATTACTGTTTTTATTTTTTTGCAGGTGCATCGATATCTTTGTACTACTGCTACTGACTCTTGCAATGATAAAAATGAAGTTGAGCAAACGTAAGCATCCCTGCTGTTTTCTCTGCACATATTATTTCTATCTAAACATTGATCAGAATACCATTATTTTGATAAACCAAAAAATGTAGTACCACAAGAATCCATTGTTAGCACTTAGCAATAGCATAGGCAGGCACAAATTTAGGTGGTTTGTCTTTGATTAGTCTGTTGTTTAATTTATCATGTAACCTACCAGCCTCTCCACCTGCATTCTTTTACGCTATTGTCTACTGTTCTTGTAACACTACAGAGTAAGTGTAACCTTTGTTGAAACGGATGGAACACAGAAACACGCAAAGGTTCCTGTTGGCACAAGTATGCTAGAAGCTGCTCTTTCAAATGACATTGAGCTAGAAGGTAAGCATTTTACTCATTCTGAAACCCCTTTCTGGACCTTAGTCTCTTTGGGCGAGATCAGTGGTTTGTCCAATCATGAAATTATGAAACACCTGTTTTATTTCCCAGTGCTCTTCATAATGGCTATCTTGGTTATTGGTAATCAAATTGTGTTCTGCTAAATGTTCCCTCAAACTTTGTTTGTACTCAAGTAACTCAACAACTTATTTTTCACAGGAGCATGTGAAGGATCCTGTGCGTGTTCTACATGTCACCTTATCGTGATGGTAAATCAGTCAATATCTTCCTTAGAGTTATAGTTACCTCATCTGTCCCCATGTCTAAACATTTGCTTGCTTTGCATGGCAGGATGTGGATTACTACAACAAACTGCTGGACCCAACTGACGAAGAAAATGACATGTTGGACCTTGCCTTTGGGCTAACAGAAACGTGAGTTTATCTACTTTGTTCATTTACTTGAGTTGCCTCTCCTGGTTCTTGATCTCAATGATTACTTGTCTAGGTCTCGTTTGGGTTGCCAAATCGAAGCAAAGCCTGAAATAGATGGAATTCGTTTGGCTCTGCCTGGGGCCACTTGAAACTTTGCAGTTGATGGAAACATGCCGAAATCATACAGCCATACTGGTATTACAACAGCTTAGTGCAGCTTAAGTTGAACCAATTACCAATTGTGTAATTTACAAGCCAATAGAATAGTCTATACAGACTACAGAGAGATTATTATTCTGTAGAATCGTCAAGTGTGAATGTTTCAATGTTTTTTACAGAGTATGTAACTTTAGGCTTGGTAGCATAAGCTATAGAACTATTTCAGTTTTGTTGAGTAATTGCTACTGGAATATAGGAGGGACTCGGGCTTTTTTATGTACTAGGAAAATAACTGCGGCAGTGTTTCTCACGAGAATAATAAATTATATTTTTCTGCATATTAATTATCTGTTTTTTTTTTTTTTCATAGATATTTAAGTACTAACTGTTACACTTTAACCCTGGTCTTCTCTACCACAGGCTATACTGAGCGGAGTGAGTGCTGCCTTGTGTTTAGATCTACTATGGCCTCCTGTAATACTTACTTTTATTTCGTGGATGTACTTGTAGATCTAAACAGCATTAGACTTTCTATTTTGACATGGCTGAAGTCCTCATGTACCAGTAGCAGGGAAATCCGAACCACACAACCCTTAACATGGAATAGCATCATCACACCTTCTCTTTCCATCTACATCAGGTCATCAAATGCACCAGTTGCAATTTCTGCAGTAACAATTCATTTCTTTTCTTGAGGTTATCTTCTCCAAAAGCTCACTCATGTCAAGGCCAGGGTCATTGAACCTTGTAACATGCTTTTTATCCATCTTTAAAATTGAATACCTCGGCTTCAGCATGTTGCACCATAAAAGGCGACTTTGTGGCTTAAGTTATGGATGTTCACAATGAGGGATGCCATGCACATTGTCTGAGAAGCGGGCTATATGGTGATTGAAGCGTAGCTGGTGTGGTGAATGTAAACATCAGGAGGAAAGGATAACTCACCTGCTATGACATTTTTGAACTGTCAGGACAGAAATGTTATGGAATCATTTCAAACAGTCTGGTCGGAATTATATTGGACTCTGCAAATTTTTAATTTTTGATTTAAGACCCAAATAAACACATGGGATGAAAAAAAAAATCTCCAAACTTCTAATTTTTTACACGTAATTTAAAGTACTATAATTTGATATGGGTTCATGTTAGTCGTTCAAGTCAAGTTCCGCTAAGGTTAGAAGAAAGGAGCCTATACAAATTTGTCCAGAACAAGTGTTTCACTTTTCACTAGGTGGACTACTGTATTACCTGTTCTTTTAACAAGCCATATTAAAATCAACCATGAAAATTACAAGTAATATGAAAATCATCACAAATGGTACGGAGTGTTAATTACTGTCAAGGCTTCACCTTCAATTCAAATTCGCATAAACCCAAGTCTTGTGGCAACTTGACACCCGAAACTCATCGCAACCTGTTATATGTTTACCTTAAAATTAATCCATTAATTTCCACACTTACTTTTTTGCTTAATAAAATTAATTCATTAGTGAGTCAATAACTCAATAGTCTCAATACCCTTACATTATGTTTAAGAGGCAAGTTACATTCATGAATCATAATTCATCTTAACACTAAATTACACTGACTCTAAACTCCCAAAAATTAAAAAAATGGTAAATAAAAATAAAAATAAAATAATGGAAGTTATGTCACTTATGTGACACATGGAAGATACGAGTATAAGACAGTACGGATTACTTCCATTTGCTTTCTCATTCTCTCTCTCTCTTTTCTTCTAGGGTTTGTTCATCGCGTCTAGAATCTTCTTTTCCCCCAATTAACGTCAGATTCTTGTTTGATTTCTTCAACTACTTCTTAAATCCCGAGGTTTCTTCATTTCAATTCCTTTGTCTGTTGGTTTTCTAACTTCATCCGCGAAAAACAATGTTTTTGGTCGATTGGTTTTACGGTGTTCTTGCTTCACTTGGATTATGGCAGAAAGAAGCAAAGATCTTGTTCTTAGGTCTCGATAATGCCGGAAAAACCACCTTGCTTCATATGTTGAAAGATGAGGTTTGTTTCTATTTAATTTGCGAATTAGGAGTGATAATTTTTAATTTTGTGGTCTGATTTTAAATTAGGGTTTTTCGTCCTTATTTTGATTTATATGAGTATTTTAAGATAGGATTTAACAATTTTGTTGGTTTATTATGTGAATTGAATTGGGTTTTGTTTTAATGGTGATTATTTGATTGCAGAGATTGGTTCAACATCAGCCAACTCAGTATCCAACATCTGAAGAACTGAGTATTGGTAAAATCAAGTTCAAGGCCTTTGATTTGGGAGGGCATCAGATCGCTCGCCGGGTTTGGAAAGATTACTATGCTAAAGTAAATTTATATTCTTGTGTATTATATATGGTGACTGATTGATCATGTTATGTGTTGAAAATTTTCGGGGTGTTTTGTTGGTCAGTCTAATCGTGCACGGTATTGAAATTATGTGGAAGTTGTTTGATTATATTGATGTTTTTGTCAGTCCCCTTGATTGAAGTTAATTAATAGGCCTTCATAATCCCAGATAAGAGTTTCAATGTTTATCTGATTCATGGGGGGCCAATAGAGTCATTGGGAGCTCGCTGATGGCGCCTTTAGTGTTCAAGGTGTTTTTAATAGTAACTTTCCAGACAAATTTTGCTCCTGTACGAATCTTATTTCAGTTGATAGTTTGATGAGATATCTTAGACGTCTATTAGCAATTTTTTAGGCTGAATGTCTGTATTTATGTAAGCTCTCTGAGTTCCCGTGGTGTCTGTTTAGTGATGCATCTGATTTATGGCCTGTAATCTTGTTATCTTTGTTAGTGTCTGTTGCCAAGTAGCTAAATTGCTGCCTGTCAACCTGTCCAGAGTTTTGTCTATTTCATGTGAGGAGTTGTATAAATACCTAGTTGATCTTTTAGTGAGGGACTGGAAGCTTCTTATGTGTCATGGTAAGTTTTTGTTTCGTATCAAAGGGAAGGCTTGTTGCTGGTGCAGTTTTTCTGTGTCGCATGCTAGCTGATTGAGTGATAAGTGAAAAACCAATTGAGCCACTTGATATTCTCATATTTAAGTATTAATTATATGTGATTATGGGAGGCCTATATCACTGTTTCTATGGGACCTCTAGTATCTAAGCAGGTGTATTTCAGTATGTCAATTTTTTCATCCAACTGGATATCCCTGGCCTGGAAGTTCCTTTTGTGTGCTGGATTCAATTGAGGATTTAATTTTTTTTTTACCAAAATTATTGTAAGAGCTTTGGGATTTTGTGAGGTGATTGATTGCAATCTTTCTTATCTCTGACTCCATATTTTTATTAATAGACTTTTGTTGAATTTTGCATTGAAATAACTATGTTTTATCAATTGCATTCAAATATTCCTTGGCATGAAATTCACATATTCCTTTTGAGCAAATGCATATGAGATGAGGTTTAATAAGGAAGGATATGCCTCATTCTAATAGGATTTATTTTGATTATTTTCATATTTAAGATCTACATTTAAACTTTTATCATTTTGGAGCATAATAGCTTAGTATTCAATTGCTAAAATTTTGTGCTTGATCCTTCAATTGAGAAGACTGTTCTTTGAAACAAGAACCTTACTGGCTCATTCCCTATCCCAAGTTACAGGTCTCAATTGGTTTTTGGTCCAAGCAAGCAACCCTTGAATCTGTGATTCTTAAGCACCAGTCCTAAGCCTCATTGGTTCAGCCTAATAAGCTTCTAATCTTGATCATCTGAGTGATCTTTCCATAGATTTTTTTTTTTTTTTGTACATACTATGCAGTAAACAAATACTTCCATGTAGGTAGCCGTTGGGGAAAATTATATACAAAGTATGAAACTATGAAACACTTTCTGTACATTGCTTCTGAGTCTTAAATTGTGTTTAGCAACTCTTTGGGCATTAGGAACCTTTCGCTACCTAGTATAATGAATACAATTGTCATCTGTCAGTCTTACTATTATGAAACCATTATCTCAGAATATCTCATTTGCTCCCACCTTTTTTGGATATTCAAGTAGGATAGATGTATGCAGCATTGACCTAGAGATTACTGAGAAACTGGTACCATTCTAACCATTTAAAAGGGTAGACCCATCCTTTCAGAGCTTCTTCAGCCACTTTGTGGTCATCTTCATTTTTGCTTGTATATCTTTGCTCTTTCAAAGTTATAATAAAATGCCTTTTTTTTTTTATCATTTCAAATAGACCCAAACATCTATATGAATCATCAAAGGCAGAAATTGTCATGCAGAGCTATTTTTTAATACGTAGGGCTTCCCTCTTTTATTGAGAGTCGCCTTATTGATATCTGCGGACAATTCCCAAACTTGCTGAGATTTATTCTGTTTTATGACTTTTATCCACATACTTGTTTTATCCATGCTATTTGCCCACTAATGCATGTTTTGGAATTGAAGGTGGATGCTGTGGTGTATTTGGTGGATGCTTTTGACAAGGAGAGGTTTGCTGAGTCAAAGAAGGAGCTGGATGCTCTACTATCTGACGAAGCGTTGGCCAATGTTCCTTTCCTGATTTTAGGGAACAAAATCGACATACCTTATGCAGCTTCTGAAGATGAGTTGCGCTATCATCTGGGTCTGGCCAACTTTACCACTGGTAAGGGGAAAGTTAATCTGGCAGACTCCAATGTCAGGCCTATGGAGGTATTCATGTGCAGCATTGTCAGGAAAATGGGCTACGGGGAGGGCTTCAAGTGGCTCTCGCAATACATCTAGTGGCCTTATAGAGTAGATTTTTCCCTAGCTTTTCCCTGATTTACATAGTTACATGTTTAGATGCTATTCTCTCAGCTGAATTTGAGTTGTATGTGTTGTCTAGTTTAGATGAATGTATACATAGTCTGCTTGCTTGCTTGGCATTATGACAACATATGCCAATTTCTTGTGTATTGATGTGCATAACCAGTGTTGTGATTGTGCAGACAGCTTTATTATAGATACATTTGCCGTTGAAATAATTTTTATGCCAATTATAGGCACCTATCTATAATGGTGTGAAACAATTACTCCTACAGCCTGTAGATGTCAATCTTTTATTTTTTATTTTTAATTTTTTGGACTGATGGGAAACAAACATAGAAGATGTAGCTAGAGTGCTAGATTGCTTTCGTTGCCTTAGAAGATGTAGCTAGAGTGATTATTTTTATTAATCTTATTGGAGTTTATAGTTTATTTGATGGGATATCTTAGACGTCCATTTATTTTTATTAACTTTCTGGAGTTGCCTTTTAGGCTGAATTTCTGTCCCATGTATAAGCTCTCTGAGTACCTAACTACCTATGGTCTCTGTTTAGTGATACCTCTGTTTACGACCTGTACTTTTGTAGGGTTTGTGTATACTTGATCTTCTTCGTATGTGTCTGTTCCCAAGTAGCTAATTTGTGAGTTGAATTTATTACTAGTTGATCTTTTTGGAAATTATTTATCGACATCTTATTTAAGTAATAAATTGGAAGGTCGTGATGTGCCATAAGAAGTTACCATTTCATATCAGAGGGAAGGTTTGTTGCTGGTGCAGTTTTGCTGTGTTCCATGCTAGCTGATCGTGTGAGAAGTGAGAGACCAGTTGAGCCTTCATATTTTCATATCTAAGTTTGAAGTTTATGTGATTATGGGAGGCCTGTATCACTGAGGCTGTTATGCTCCTATTGCACCTCTAGTATCTAAGCAGGTGATTTTATTGGTGTATTTCAGTGTACTTTAAGTTCTACGACTCTAGCGGACTAAATTTCCTGCTAATGTTTTTTCAAAAAAAAAAAAAAAAATCCACATCACTGCACACACTGTCAATGCCATAGACCTGTATTCAGCTTCAGCTGTGCTTCTTGCTACTACACTCTGCCTTTTGGACTTCCAAGAGATTGGTGATTCTCCAAGCATGATACAGTATCTAGATGTGGACCTTCTAGTGTTAAGGACAACCTGCCAATCACTATCACAATAAGCTGTGAGTTGAGCTGAACTCTCACTTGCTAGCAAAATTCCTTGATCAGTTGTTCCTGCAGATACCTCAAAACTGTCTTAGCTGCCTGTAAGTGTACATTTGTAGGCTTGTGCATGAACTTGCTTAAGTTTTGCACATATACGCTATATCAGGTCTGGTAATGGTGAGATAGATCAGTTTTCCCACCCACCAGTTTCTGATATTGCTTTGGATCCATCACTACTTTCAGCACATAATTTCAAGTGAGAATCCATAGGTAATCTCAAGGCTTTCACGTTCTTCATCTTGTATTCCTCCAATAAATCTGCTACATACTTTCTCTGAGATAGGAAGATTCCTTGTTTGCATCTGTCAACTGCAATTCCCATTCCCAGAAAGTATCTAAGAGCTCCCATATCTTTCATGTGAAATTTGCTGGAGAGAAATTCCTTTGCTTTTTTGATCTCATTCATGTTGTTCCTTGCTACAATCAAATCATCAACATACACAAGTATGACTGTAAGACCATTCTCATTGTGAATAGGGAGTAATCATTCTTTGATTGTACAAATCCACACTCTGTCAAAGCATTGCTCAACTTACATAACCATTGCCTTGGAGCTTGTTTGAGTCCATACAAGGACTTAATCAGCTTGCACTCTTTTCTTGGATTCTTCTCTTCAATTCTAGGCTCCCCTTGTGAACATACCTTGATTCAGTCACCTTTCTCATGATATCCTAGGGGCATTCTCATGTACACTGTTTCCTGCAAATCACCATGCAAGAAAACATTTTTAACATCCATTTGATGCGCTATCCAGTTTTCTAATGAGGCAACATCTAACAGAGACCTCACAGTTGCCATTTTAGCAGCTGGAGCAAAGGTTTCCTCATAATCTATTCCATATTTCCGTCTATTTCCCAGAACAACTAATCTTGACTTGCATCCATTTGCACCCTATAGCAGTTTTCCTTTGGGAAGATTAGTTATTTCCCACGTATTGTTTCTCTCCAATGCATCTAACTCCTCATTCATTGCATTCACCCATTTTGGGTGTTTTACAGCTTCTCTAAACTATGTGGGATCATTATCTTCCATTTTTCTTGCCATGAAACAATTATATTCCTTACTTAGGACAAAACTTTCTACTTCCTAAATTTTCTGAGCAAAGTTGCACATGTGATAGTCTTTTGCCCACACAGGTGGTGCCCTATGAGGCCCGGTAGATTTTCTGATCTCAGTTTCATTTTCTTCTGTCTCATTTTAATCCTCATCACCTTCACCATTTCTTTCATTTTCTTCTTCTACATCATCATTCTCACATTTATTTCCTTCTATCCACTTTTCATTGCTTAAGACACTATCAAGTTTATTTCTATTCATTATTTTTGTGTTCTTTGACTCAAATATCTGTACGGAAGTATTGATTCATAGAACTTCACATGTCTAGTAACAAACCTAACATTATTTGTCAAGTTTAGCAGTCTATAGCCCTTTTGTGTGGTAGGGTATCCTAGAAACACACGAGGCACAACCTTTTTATCAAACTTACCAGTATTTCTTTCAGGATTACTAGCCATTACAAGACAACCAAATACTTTCAATTCAGAATAATCAGGTTTTTTATGATGCATTACCTCATAGGGTGATTAGTTGTTCAGGATTGTTGTTGGCAGTCTGTTGGTTATGTGTACTGTAGTGAGTATGTAATCTCCCCATAGTTGCATTGGCAAGTTTGCCTGGAACCTCAACTCTTCCCATCTCAAGAATATTCCTGTGCTTCCTCTCCACTCTCCCATTTTGCTGTGGAGTATCCACACAGGAAGTCTGATGGATTATTCCCAGATCATCAAAGAAGGGTCTGCATGTCTTGTCATCAAACTCTAGAGCATTGTCTGATCTTATGATCTTTACTTTCTTCCCATACCGGTTCTTTCCCATATTCACAAAAAGTCTTGATGGCTTCATATGCTTCTGATTTCTGAGTCAAGAGATGTACCCACGTTTTTCTTGAGTAATCATCTACAATTGTCAAGAAGTATCTTTGATTCCTTCTTGTTACTACTCTATGGGGCCATTTATATCAATGTGAATGAGTTCAAAGATTTCTGAGGCCCTAGAGTTACTTTTTTCATAGGACAGCTTGTCTTTGCCTGAGGACATATAAGACAGATATCAGCATCTAGATATCAGCATCATCTTTCTTGAACTTGTCAAGTCTAAGTCTTCCAATTTTCTCCATTGGAGCATGCCTTAATCTATAATGCCACAAGCTTCTTTCAGACACTTTGGACATCTCAGTCAATACTGTTGGAATTTCTACTTCACTCACCACATTATTACTTTCACTGAACTTGGATTCATTCATCCCAAGTATAACTTTCCTCTCTCTCTTATCTTCTTAATGACTTTCTCCATAGGCTCATTCAGAAGGTGGTACAAATTCTTGGCCACACCAATCCTTTTACACTGCCATTCTTTGTGTCTTCTACACACAGTGTGTGGGATAGAAATACAATCTGTATCCACCATCTGCAGTGAGTTTCTGTACAGACGACAAGTTATGTTTGAAACTTGGTATGTACAGTACCCTTTTCAGCATCACACCATTTTCGAGTGCAACTGTACCACTATGAGAGATGACAGATGTTTGCCTTGTAGGCAGATTTATCTTGCATTAAGTCTTCATTTTTTCTGCATTGCTCAAACTCTCACAGTCTCCTGTCATATGATCTGAGGCACCTGAGTTAATAATCCAGTTAGAGCTAGTGTCCTGTCATATGTCCTAAGGTAGCTACAATTGGAAAAATAACTTGTGTCTACCAATAATGTAGTATCTTATTGAAGACCTTTGTACCTAGTTTGTGCTCAATTTAATTTATATCATTCCCTAATATAAATGATTATTTTTCTACCTTTTAGTTATTGGAATCACATTTTTTAGGTGGCTGACATCTAATTTTGTTGCTTTTGTATTTAGTTCAATACAATTCCCAACAAATGCAAATACTTTGTCTCGCTTCTTTAATTAAGCTAGTAAGCAAAGAATTATAGTAACAATAGGCCTTATCAATCTTTGATTGATATTTTTTGCGTTTTTGTTATCCTCAAGAAAGTAGTGTGAGCTTCTAGGAGGGTAGATACCATACATAATGAGATATAAGACGTAGTGCCAAATTCAGGTCTGTAAAATTTATTTAAATGCATTTTTTCATTAAAAAAAATATAAAAAAAAAAAAAACTAGTTTATACAAGTATAAGAGTTATGCGACTTCTGGGATTTCTTTCCTCCATTGAAACGACTTATGAGGTAAGATTTTCTTTCTTCTAATTAATCATCGTATGTCAATTTTACTATTTACGGTTTATCGAAATTTACTTGTTAGTATAATCAATTTGGGGTTCTTCCAAGGTAGACTACTAAACACTATTGGTGATAGTCATTGAAGTCATGAAATATATATTGAGCGATTAAATTTTTTTTGTTGTGCTAACATACTCTCTTAATATTGATGGATGCATGGTGTGACCCACCCTTTAATTTTTTGACAATACTTCCAATTTTATTTTCAAAATAACCTGATTTCTTGTTCTGAAACCCTTTGATTTTCTTATTTGAGTGTATTGTCAATGCCCTACTCATTAATTTGATGACCCAATTGCTTGATCTGATCAAATTTGGTTTATTAAAGTTGCTTTGTGAAGTGGGATTTGTTTGATTTTTGAGTACCATCGCTGATGAGACTCAATGCATGTGTTGCCATCGCTGGGTATCTTGATTCTTGGAACTATTGTGGTTATGTTTGTGTGAGAATTCTTTTGTTACGACAGCTATATGCAAGTTATTTACAAGGATATGGATTGCCTAACACAATTCTTTTTTTTTTTTTTTTTTTTTATTATTATATTGAAAAATCATTTTCAGTTTTGGTCTTTCATTGAGTGGTGCCTAAAATTTAATCAATACTTCTCTTGTGTTTCAATGTGCATCATAACTTGACAGTTCAGAAGCTATATAGGTATTTAGGACAGATAACGTAATTCAGCTAGGGTGATGTCAGAAACAAAATCCAAAACAGTAAGTATCAAT